CTTCTGCTGGTGGGCTCATTGGGTGAATCCTTTCCTTTGTATACTAAAGACAACCAGCCTCTCAACTACGTTAAATCCTATTGAGGAAATGCTATCTTTCCTGACCTTTCAACAACATTTTAAATACCGTATTTTTCGGACTATTGGACGCACCGGTCCATAGGACGCACCTAGATTTGGGGGGGGAAATAAAGGCAAAAAAATTTTATCCCCCCCCCCCGCCAGGCGCGGGGCTGGGGCGGGGAAGCCCGAGCTTCCCCCTCCCCCAGAACGGGACCCAGAGCCATGCCGAAGCTGCGCGCAGCTTTGGCATCGCTCTGGGAGCTTGCGGGGCTGGGGGAGGAGGAAGCCTTCCGCCAGCCTCCAAACCATGTCGGGAGACAGCGGGATGGCGTGCTGCGCCTCTCCCGCTGTCCCCCGAGTTTGCGGGGCTGGGCCAGCCTTCTAACCAAGTCGGGGGACAGCGGGAAGGGCGCGCTGCGCCCCTGCCGCTGTCCCCCGAGTTTGCGGGGCTGGCGACGGGGAGGAGCAGGCTTCTCCCCCCGCCAGCCTTCTAGACAAGTCGGGGGACAGCGGCAAAGGCGCGCTGCGCCTCTCCCGCTGTCCCCCAAGTTTGCGGGGCTGGCGACGGGGAGGAGCAGGCTTCTCCCCCCGCCAGCCTTCTAGCCAAGTCGGGGGTCAGCAGGAAAGGCGCGCTGCGCCTCTCCCGCTGTCCCCCGAGTTTGCGGGGCTGGCAACGGGGAGGAGCAGGCTTCTCCCCCCGCCAGCCTTCTAGCCAAGTCGGGGGTCAGCAGGAAAGGCGCGCTGCGCCTCTCCCGCTGTCCCCCGAGTTTGCGGGGCTGGCAACGGGGAGGAGCAGGCTTCTCCCCCGCCAGCCTTCTAGCCAAGTCGGGGACAGCGGGAAGGGCGCGCTGCGCCTCTCCCGCTGTCCCCCGAGCTTGTGGGGCTGGCGGTGGGGCTCTCCTGAAGCCTGGAGGTTGTGGGGCTGGTGGGGGGGAGAAGCAGGCTTGCTTCTCCCACCCCCAGCCTCCAGATCAGGTCGGGGAATAGCGGGATGGCGGAGCGCCGCCATCCCGCTATTTCCCGACCTGATCTGGAGGTTGTGGGGCTGGGGGGGGGAGAAGCAGGCTTGCTTCTCCCACCCCCAGCCTCCAGTTCAGGTCGGGGAATAGCGGGATGGCGGAGCGCCGCCATCCCGCTATTCCACGACCTGATCTGGAGGTTGTGGGGCTGGGGGGGAGAAGCAGGCTTGCTTCTCCCACCCCCAGCCTCCAGATCAGGTCGGGGAATAGCGGGATGGCGGAGCGCCGCCATCCCGCTATTCCCCGACCTGATCTGGAGGTTGTGGGGCTGGGGGGGGGAGAAGCAGGCTTGCTCCTCCCACCCCCAGCCTCCAGATCAGGTCGGGGAATAGCGGGATGGCGGAGCGCCGCCATCCCGCTATTCCCCGACCTGATCTGGAGGTTGTGGGGATGGTGGGGGGGAGAAGCAGGCTTGCTTCTCCCACCCCCAGCCTCCAGATCAGGTCGGGGAATAGCGGGATGGCGGCGCTTCGCCATCCCCCTATCCCCCAAGCTTGTGGGGCTGGGGGGGAGAAGCAGGCTTGCTTCTCCCCCCGCCAGCCTCCAGATCAGGTCGGGGAATAGTGGGGTGGCGGCTCTGCGCCTCCCCGCTGTCCCCAGCTTTTGGGTGCAGGCTGCTGCCCGCAAGCCTTGCGAGCCCGCGGGACATCCCGCCGGGCTTGCAAGACTTGGGATAGCTTCCTGAAGCCTGGAGAGCGAGAGGGGTCGGTGCGCACGGACCCCTCTTGCTCTCCAGGCTTCAGCAAAAGCCTGCATTCGCACCATAGGACGCACACACATTTCCCCTTCATTTTTGGAGGGGAAAAAGTGCGTCCTATAGTGCGAAAAATACGGTAGCTTTTTATGGTTACCTACCCTGGGACCATCGGTTGAAGGGCAGGTAATAAATTAACAGCAAGAACAATAATATATTGAGTATTAATGTCTTTTCTCATCGTACTACAGTGGTACCTCGGGTTAAGTACTTAATTTGTTCCGGAGGTCCATACTTAACCTGAAACTGTTCTTAACCCTAAGCACCACTTTAGCTAATGGGGCCACCTGCTGCCGCCACGCCACCGGAGCATGATTTCTGTTCTCAACCTGAAGCAAAGTTCTTAACCTGAGGTACTATTTCTGGGTTAGAGGGGTCTGTAACCTGAAGCGTATGTAACCTGAAGCATATGTAACCCGAGGTACCACTGTATTTATATACAAGAAATAATGCATAGTGAGAATGTTTGTAGAGAATGTGTCCTTTTCTCTTTCTCCTTTTCCAGAATGATGGTAGAAGGTCCTACTTTAAAAAACCTGCTTTATTTCAACATACAAAACTCCCCACCACTCCCCCCAATTGCAAGCACTGTATAGTTCAGTGATCATCATCATCATCGGCTGTTTTCAGTATAGCATGGTTGAGTATTGCACTACTGCTTTCTCTTCACTTCGCTCAGCTTTAACATTGTCAACTGACTTTATCTTGAATTTGACCCAAAACTTGACTAATCTGTAATGAAGTCCAGGCTTCGCAGAACTTGGCATGGTGGATATCCTTTCGGCAATTGCATAATGGCTCACCCTGCATAACCACTGCTCACTGGCAGCTTATTCACCTCTCAAGGCGTTTTCCAAGTTCTCAAAGCATTCGGCCAAAACCTCAAACCCTTCCAAACCTTTAAGGTGTGTCCTTTACTCCAAAGCACTAAACACTCTAACATCCCAAAATAAGTGTTTTTAAAAAATCCAGTCACCCTTACACAGAAGTTAAAAATTGCAGAAACGTAAACGTTTCCTAAGTTTCTTGTTCATTTGCTGAGGGAAGTCAGTGAAGGCTACGGGGTATTTGCTTCTTTTGCAATGGCACACTACACACCGGGGGTGTGGAATGTGAGCACAGCCTCTGCGCTAAATCTTGTTGTTCACTCCTCTGGGATTCTTTTCCTTGCTGTGCATGACCCTGCCTAAGAAACCCCTCCCAGGGAGCCTTCAGTAAAGTTTTATAGCAAAGTCTGCCTGCAGACTCCATGAATAATAGATGCCAAGTCCCGGGTTTCATGGATCAGTGATTATCGTTTTAAGGCATCAAGAAGGATACCCTTTTCTTTTTCATGAAGGCTAAAGATGGTCACGGAAATGTGTAGCTTCATTTGACCTCCGTGACTTTGCTTGAAGGCTTTCCAGATGTCAAGGGGCCCAGACTCTTCCTCAAATCCAGAAACAGTTGAGATAAACTTGAACTGCCCCAGTAGAGACCTGACATTTCCCAAGTCACTTTGCCTGTTAGGTGAGATTTCTTCCGGGCCAGAGAAAAGCGATTAAGGATGCAGACCTATACACACATAGCTAGGGATGAATCACAGAATCATAGAGCTGGAAGGGACCATGAGGGTCATCTAGGCCAACCCCCTGAAATGCAGGAATCTTTTTGCCCAACATGGGGCTCGAACCCACAACCCTGAGATAAAGAGACTCATGCTCTACCAACTGAGCTACCCTTTGGGTAAACTGCATTGAACACAGTAGAACTTATTTCCAGGCAGGAATAGCCAAATCTGTCCATTTCAGTTTCTCCTGGTTGCTCATTTTTCCAATTGTAGATTCAGTTCTCCACATGCCCACTTCAGTTTGCAGATTTTAAAAAAATAAATAAAAGTTAGCATGAAGATTCAGCAGCATTTTTGTACAAATTGTACATATTTTTAATATGTAATTTCCCCCGATATGCACATTTTTGCAAACCGATTTCCCTTATAATGCAATGTATTTTGCATGTGTCCCCCCAATAATGTATGAATTTATATTCACACTTTAGTATATGCTTTTTATGCACATTAATTGACTGGAGAGCTGCATTGCAAAATTCAGATAAGTGTGAATTTTGAAGGATGGCTGTTTTTCAGTTCATGTTTTGTTTCAGAAAGTGCGAATTAGCTAAGTTTGCCTTTGAATGTGAACTGAATTGAGCCCCGCCCCCAAAAAAACCCACCCTCTTCCAGGTACATGTGATTTTTTAATTGTACTATAGAAGTGGTAAGCCAGCTACCACTCAGATGCAGGCTATATAAACAATTCCCAAAAACCAGACATGACTGTTCTTTCAATGCCTTTCCTTGAATGCTGAATAAAAAAAAAGATGCAAATAATTCACAGATTCAATTCATTGTTGTATAATAATAATAAAAAATACTCAGTCCCGGCCATAATAATTGAAGATCAGCTAATGTAAGGGGTCAGGTAGTCTCAAACTGGGAATCTGAGCTGCAGGACCAAAGTGTCTTCTCTCTATCACTGTGGCATCTGGTTGAACGAAGGACCTGCTGGCTTGTCTTCTGCAATGCTACTGCTTTGGGTGGCCAGAGGGCAGTGCTGTAGCTACCAACTCAGTAGGATCAGGTGATACAAGGAGCAAATAAGATTCTACCAGTTCCTATAAGCCCCTGGCTCTGGAATAGCTTCTCAGTCTGAGCAGCCTGGTGCTTTGCCTCCCTTCCAGATCACCATCTCCAACACTGATCAGGATTTGAATATTCTAAAGATACAATTTTGCTGGCTTTGCAATTTATGATTAAAATAGGCTTGTTCATTATCCCTGATTTTAATACATGCTGCTGTGTTGTTGTTGTTGTTGTTGTTGTTGTTTTTTAAAAAGAACTGTTTCCTATTTATTCCAAAGCACCACAGTCCAGAAACATGATAGATGTCTTATTTCAGACTTGATAGTGCGGTATTCCCCTTCAACATTTGCTGTCTTATCTTTGTGATTCATTAACAATGCAGTTGCCTTTTTCTGACGCTCGTGGAAAGTAGACCAACTCCGCAAATAAGTAGCGATGGAAAACATTAGGATATGATGGGGAGGATGTAAATAAGGAGAGCATAAATAAAGACTGCAGCAGGCTATGACGTTAAACATGTGTTATTTTACTTTGAAACATGCAGAACATGGTTTCGTTGGTTATTCAGAGGAGCTAATGTTGAATAACACGCTGCCGAACTACAGTCCGGGGGAGTCTTTCTTCACTGTGTTTGGAGTGTTCTTCCCAGCTGCTACAGGTACCGTAGAATTGTATACGATGCACTTAATAATTCTTGTGGTTGTAAGTGTGCTACACAAATACAGAATCCTAAACATCTCCCTTGTGCTTTTTTTAAAAAACCATAAGTTTACAGTCCTTATTCTAGCGAAGAAAATTTGGGAGCAATATCTATTTGCTTTAAAAGTTCAACACACACACACACACACACACACACACACACACACTCTGGTGGTTGTGCAAAAAGGACTGACTTCTGAACTCTACATAGATCTCTGTCTCTTCTTTTGACTTTTCAGTCTCTTTTCCCCACCCCTCTCAAATGTCTTGTGTATTCTTTGCTATATGTTTGATGAAAGCAGCAGAAGCAGGATTGGCAGCCTTGCCCTCAGAACGTTCTGGAGTGTTTTTGCGGGCTGTTTATTTGTTGGCTTGTTTCTGTACCTTGCTGCCCATGCCCCCAGGGGAACAATAAAATCAATACGATTAAACTCCACGATGGCAGAAATAGACCAGCCACACACCAAAGATAAACTGGAAACCTATCACAATAAATGTTGGCCTGAAACCTGTGGAATTAAGATGCTGGCAGTTTTAAGATCCCTTTCCCAATGATCCCTCGTGTGGTTTTCTCCTTTTCCACAGCTGCCACACACTAGGCCAACATTTTCATTGAGCTACTCCAAGTTTCCTTTCCTGATCACTTGCCACCAGCTCAGACCACATCAATGTGCTTATTAGGATTCTTTTACCACCAGGTGCATCATATTAAACGATGACAATGAACTGCATTTGCCATTTTATTCACCCAGTTTGGCACCTTTGGAGTCATTTTGTAATCACCTTTTGTTTTCACCAACCTGACTAATTCGATGTCATCTCACTACTCACCCCTAACTCCAGATCATCTATGAACAAGTTTAAAAACACAGGCCCTAATACAAATCTTGGTGGGAACAACACATTTTTTTCACATCCCTCCATTGTGAGAACTATCCATTGACTCTTGCTCTGTGCTTCTTGTTCTTTAACCTTCACTGATTTCCCAAGAGGATCCACATGGTGGCTAGGATTGCTCAGTAGCCTTTCATGAAAGTCTGTTGGCTTACCTAAATAGAGACCATGTTTATTTTACAAAATTTCCTAAAATTAGAGATAGAGATAGATAATGATGGGGGAGAGGCAGAGAGAAACCCCATACGTAATGCCGAAGCATAGTTGCTTTGCATCCAACACAGGCAAGTACAGGAGGAGGAATATTTATGAGTGCTGCAATAAAAATTACCCTCAGTGTTGTTAAATGGTTCTTCACTCTTCCTAAATCTTGGCAGCTAGGAAAGAAGCCAAACCTAACAGATATAATTTATTTCAAAAGTATGGGTGAATTATTACTTCATTAGTACTAGTAAAACCAGTAGCTATGCTAAATGCTCTCCCTGAGTGCAATTTTTTGTGTTAAGAATGTCATTAATTTGGTTGCTACCGAACAGCTTCCTCTTTATTCTTCTAGTATGTTTTATGGCATTTAGCTTCTCACAATGGTCATGTGTCAGTGGCATGTGTAAATTAACGTCCCGTTCCTCTAGCTAGCTGTGTTCAAATAATGCTTGCAGGAACTTGGCCTGAAGAAGAACCCCTCTTGAGCATTTGGAACCTGACATTGCCACAAACTGCAGACAACTAGATAAGCAGCAACTCAAAAATAATGTAGGAGTATCAGAAAACAGTTTCAGCTAGTAAGGGGAGAGGAATAAGTAGAGAAACGCCCATGAAGAGGACCAAAAGTGAAAGATAGAAAAAATTGTGAAAGTATACTTAATCCTAAACCTTTTTACAAGTGTCAGTCCCCCTGAAACAAAGTTTAGGACTAGTTTGTCGTGAGAGTAAAACGTGAGAACCTTCATATTGCCATCAGTGAAATCATCAAGTGATAATGATAATATGAACACCCGTGCAATTAATGGGTATCTGGTCCCACTTAATGGTTAATTCTGTAGCACTGGTGAAGCCACATGGGTATGGATCATGTGGGAGGCCAATGTGGAAACCATGTAAGAGCAGGATAAAAAGGTAAAGGTAAAGGTACCCCTGCCCGTACGGGCCAGTCTTGGGTTGTGCGCTCATCTCACTCTATAGGCCGGGAGCCAGTGCTGTCCGCAGACACTTCCGGGTCACGTGGCCAGCGTGACATCGCTGCTCTGGCGAGCCAGAGCCGCACACGGAAACACCGTTTACCTTCCCGCTAGTAAGCGGTCCCTATTTATCTACTTGCACCCGGGGGTGCTTTCGAACTGCTAGGTTGGCAGGCGCTGGGACCGAACGACAGGAGCGCACCCCGCCGCAGGGATTCGAACCGCCGACCTTTCGATCTGCAAGTCCTAGGTGCTGAGGCTTTAACCCACAGCGCCACAGAGCAGGATACAAGCACAATTAAGAATGAGCTGGAATTAAAGCGACTCAGAGCAAGAGAAACACAGGTATCTAGAGAGAACCATAGGAGGAATTGGATAGTTTCTCAGGCACCAGAACAGATTTTAATTATGAAGCCACAACATACTATTATTATTATTATTATTATTATTATTATTATTATTAGTGTTAGTAGTAGTAATATTCAAGGGGCCTAACAGTAATCAGATGACATTGTGATGTAAGTCTCAAGACTTTCTATTGTTTTTTTCTACAGCAAACACGGCTTGCGCTCTAAAATGTATTATTGCAATGCCATCATTCACTTACTCCACATTAAGACTGTTTACCCCATAACAAACATGGCAGACAGTCAGTTGGTATTTCCGTAGTCTGAACATTCTGTAGGAGTCCTACATTCCAGAGAATTTCCATAGAATTTTGTTTTTTTGGCATTGGTCTAAATAGCCAAAGATGAAAATGAAGCTGTGTGGATGCCTGAACTCCCCTCTCAAGAAAGCCTTAAACATCTGACCCACCAACCCAAACCTAGATCACCAGCCAAGTATTGTGGCCTGTGATGAGCTTGACAAATGCTCTTGTTTTATATTCCCAGACAAACATTAGAAGAAGTTTTATGAAGTCCTTGTTGGGCTGTATAGACTGAGGGGCGCTTTTCACTTGGAGGCTAGTACTACAGTTATTCTTTAAGATCCTGCAATGTAGAGCTAGCACATAAGATGTGATGAAGGATACTACCACCAGTCTCTCTTCTTTCAGTGTTCTCTGGGACCCTGATTGGCCGCTAGTCAAGGTTTTTGCTTCTTTCTAAAATCTGTGTAAACCAGGCCTAAAGAACCTGCAGTCCTCCAATATGATGTTGGATTGCAGCTCCCATCACCCCTGACTATTAGCTATACTGGCTGCATGATTGAAGTTGGAGTTCAACAACACTTGGAGGGCCACAGGTTCCCCGGAGGGCCACAGGTGTAAACCATTCTAGATCTGACAAACTGTTTGCCAAATTTTTACTTGCAAGCCAAAGGTTTTTCACTCAGATCTCCCTACATTTTTATTTAAACTCCTATCCTCTCTTGTGTTTGACATAGACTGCCCATTTATTGATCTTGGCCCCTGTCTATAATATAGTGTCATAACAAAACATTTGGTTAAATGCAAATTGTGGTGGATAATCTTACTGGCAGATCCCTGTGGGCGGTACTGAATATAGTGTGTAGATTTAAGGAATCATGCTCTTAATTTACCAGTGAGTGTGGTTTAGCAGCACTGGAGTTTGCCAGTGGCTGGTTTTATGCCTGGATGCACCTGTTAAGCTGAGAATAAATGTAAGGAATTGCTTTGACAATCTGAAATGGCAGAAAGCCACATGAGCAATATTTTCAGAAAGGCCATTGCTTTCTATGAAAAAAAGATGAGGTTCTGACTAATCTAAGTCCATTCTTCAACTTAAGCTGTGATTCCAAGTGTGGGAGGAAGCTGGAAACAGAAGGTGGTTTAACTACCTCATCCAGCAAAGGGAGACTATGTCCTTCCTTCAGTTCCCATCCCCAGTTTGTAGCCTTACCAATATTGGAGTTCCAGCATTGTTAAGGGAAAGGCTGCAGAAGTTCTAATGGTGGTAGAGAAAGGATTTCTGACTTCAGATATCCCTGTCAATGGTTAAAGCTCTTTCCCTTTTTTTCTGCCCTTGGGGAGAGAGAGATCATGTGCTCCCTATAGCCCCTGGGGCAGGGACCAGGGACCTTAGGATTGCAGAGCTAATAACTTGAACAGCCTGGCAGAGGCAACTGCAGCTCTAGCTACACAGATGGAGCAGTCTTGCTCCTACTTCAGCCTGCCAGAACCAAAGGTCATAGTTGGGTCTCACTTACGGTAACATAGACTTCTGCAACTAAGTCATTATCTGGCTCCAGTGTAGTTAAATCAGACTAACGTGTCGTTTCTAGAGACTGCTTGGACAGAGAATAACAACAATACGGTAATGAATTGAAGGTTGTGGATTAAATTTCATTCTCAGTGTCTTTGGATTTTTTGTTTATCATGCTCCACTGATGTACGTAACAGTAATATTACTTTATTTTATAGCCACACGGCCAATAATGTCATGCAGCTCTGCTCCTTTCTTTGTAATAGATATTTAAAGCATTTCAGATGAAGCTACTGGCTTTCTTCCCGAACATTTTGTAATGTAATAGTAAAGAAGTGGCTCTGTCATCCAAGCAATTAAACTGTTGCATGAGTTGCATGAGAAGTTGTGGGTGTGGGAGATGTTGATTTTACTGAATTAGTTCAGAAAGACTGCAACAACAACCACAGATAGTTTAAAAATACTGAGAGGGAAAGCCATTCCAGATGTAGGCAGACAGGATTTTTTTTTTACCATACACGCATGTGTGTATGTGTACAGAAATGTATTAAACAGTTTGCTCATTTGGGCTGAAATATGTACTTGCAGAGTAATCCTAAGCATGTTCCTAAGCATGTTTACTCTGACGTGAGTCTCCCTGGGTTCGATAGGATATGGTCTCTCCAGTAAGTGTTTTTAGAATTGCAGCCTTAGGCATTCCCAAATACGGCCCCTTTGAAATCCAAGCATAGCTGATACTAGAATAGGCTTTGTATGTTAATGCCAGGTCTGGGCATGGTAACGTTTAGATAGCAAGAATGGACATTATGGTAGATTGCACAGAGGCACCCAACATTATTCTGGAAACTGCATTCTGTGTTAGCTGCACTTTTCTGGCAATTTTCAAGGATAATCCTAAGTAGAGTGTGCTACAGTGATCTAGGCAAAAGGTTGCTAGAGCATGCAAAACTGTACACATTATCTGGCAAATCAGCCAAAGCTGGAAGTAGGCACCTCTTTGTTTATGGCATTCATATAAAAGGTAAAGGTACCCCTGCCCGTATGGGCCAGTCTTGACAGACTCTGGGGTTGTGCGCCCATCTCACTTAAGAGGCCAGGGGCCAGCGCTGTCAGGAGACACTTTCCGGGTCACGTGGCCAGCGTGACATCGCTGCTCTGGCGAGCCAGAGCCGCACACGGAAACGCTGTTTACCTTCCCGCTAGTAAGCGGTCCCTATTTATCTACTTGCACCCGGGAGTGCTTTCGAACTGCTAGGTTGGCAGGCGCTGGGACCGAGCAGCGGGAGCGCACCCCGCCACGGGGATTCATACTGCGTAATCATTTCTAAGTTGTGTACATAAAAATAAACATTTTCCACACAACCTTAATAGACCAAGATGCTATATGGACCCTGTAGCATTGGAGAGGACCTTGGGAGTGACTGTATCAACAGTCCTCATCTTGCCATCTCACAACAGGACCAGGGCCTAAACAGGATCACAGTCTCCATCCATTGGGAAACTCCCCAGAGTACTCAAGAATCAGTTTCCATTAGACCATCTGAATCGGTCCTCCATCCCAGCAGGGAGTGACTGCTGCTAAAAGTACAACCTTTAACAGGAAACTGATTTTACAGAATGGGACAATCTTGAAAGTATCAAGCAGCACCCAAACACCATTGGATTGGGGTGTCCTTTCTTGGGTTGGAACGAGACAGAATCAAAACAAGCAGAGCAATCAAAGAATGTGTTGGTAGCAGAGAAAGATAGCATTTGAACTGAGACAAAAATGACAGATTGCTACTGTGTGAATGCAAAACTGAGGTAAGAATGAAAGGCCCAAGTCAGAGCAAAGAAGGTGATGATTATTGATACTGTAAACTGACTTTTAGCTTGCCCACACTTCCCTTGCCCTCCTCCTTTCCCAGGGAAAACTCGCTCTAAATCGGAACAAACAGCAACCTACTGAAAACCGATTGCTGTTTGCTCCAGTTGAGTCCTAAGGAGTGGTTTTCCCTGGGGAAAAGCAGTAGGACAAGAGGAAGTGCCGATAAGCCCTTTGTCTGAGCTGCTGTAAGCTGTAACATAGGAAAATGCTTTTTCGGTTCAGTTCTAGTGCCTTTTTACTTGGAAGAAAGATGTGTGTTGCAGGGTGCTGGGTAATCCTTTCCCCTGCGTACTGAGTGTATGTATGTGACTGTTGTCCTATCAAATAGTTACCAATTGAACACTTTGCAATGAATTCATTAAGGAGAGCCCACCTATACCAAATTGGCAGAGGGTGGGTAACAGTAATCACAGACATAAAGGGCAAATGCTGGATCCCTTTGTCCTGAAGGCTCATGATCTAAACATTTTGTAACAAGAGTTATCTTGTGAATGTGTCAGAACCTATAATATATTTGGAGTACACTACCCACATAATATGTGTGGCCTGTTTGAATGATTTGCAGAGTTGAATGTCAGCGGTCATTTGGAGAGGGGACTGCTTTCAAGTGATAGTTTTGAGATAAGCCCTTTTTTGTTTAAATCTCTGCTTTTTCTTCCAGTGCCATTGTCCAGTTTGGAACAAAGAACCTCTTTGTGGGCATATAGTTCGTAGCTTGTTGCCACTGGATACCTGATGGCTTCATCACAAAGCTTGTCTACATGGCCCTGATATCAGCATATGCACCGGTGATGTTTTTAAAAAGGCTACTGTCTTACAGCAATCTAACACAGTGTCCTCTTTATTTTCCCGTGTTCCCAAAACGCAGGTGTGATGGCTGGGTTCAATATGAGTGGTGATCTCAGGAAGCCTGCAACAGATATCCCTCTAGGATCCCTATCTGCTATAGGTGTTTCGTAAGTCCCTTGAAAACAAGGTGGTGGTGCTTATGAGGAAACCTCCTGGTAACTTACTTTCTGTCATGTGTGATATAGATTATTGTAATATGAAAATAGATTTATTTATTACCTGACAAATCAAACCTAGGCAGGCAGTCAAAGAATCTTCCTGGGCAGCTTAGCAAAAAGAATAATGAATTAATGTTTGTCTCCCCACCTTCTATCTCTGATTTAGAGGATATATAAGAATTTGTGGATGCTGAGATTCTTCTGAAATGGATATAAATCTTAAAAGAAAAGAGGGGGAAAGCCCCAACCTCTTCCTCTAGTTGGGGGGGGGGGAAATCCACAAGGAACATGAAACAAACAGGCTGAGTCTTTCTCTAACATCCACCGCAGATCCCTAGATAAATTCCACAGCAAATGGATTTTTAGAAATAATTCTTAAATTAAAGGATCCCATTGGAGTCAAATTTATAATAAATGAGATACACTGCTGCCTAAATGATGTTTCTCACTTTGGTTTACAGATAAATACTTTGATTTGTAACCAGAGATGGTGGCACAGTAGTTAAAGTACTTGAATATACTCCTATATGCTTTGTCTTACTGGGTAATATGACTGGTCAGATCTCACCTGTGTCTAGTTCTGGGCACCACTTGTGCAGCGACTCAGATGGGAATAGCAAGGAAGCAACTATTAGAGCATTTTCAGAACGTAGAGCAAGGAAGATTACATGCTACTATCATTGATTATTAGGGACGTGGGTGGCGCTGTGGGTAAAAGCCTCAGCGCCTAGGGCTTGCCGATCGAAAGGTCGGCGGTTCGAATCCCCGCGGCGGGGTGCGCTCCCGTTGCTCGGTCCCAGCGCCTGCCAACCTAGCAGTTTGAAAGCACCCCCGGGTGCAAGTAGATAAATAGGGACCGCTTACTGGCGGGAAGGTAAACGGCATATCCGTGTGCTGCGCTGGCTCGCCAGATGCAGCTTTGTCACGCTGGCCACGTGACCCGGAAGTGTCTCCGGACAGTGCTGGCCCCCGGCCTCTTAAGTGAGATGGGCGCACAACCCTAGAGTCTGTCAAGACTGGCCCGTACGGGCAGGGGTACCTTTACCTTTTTATCATTGATTATTTACTTAAGTGGATAATTTTATACTGTAGGGCAATAGATGCCTAACATAATTTAGAAAAATAATTGATGGTCCTCATATGCTTGACAACTAATATTTCTTTTATTTCTTCGCAGGTGGTTTCTATACATAGTATTTGTTTTTTTGTTGGGAGCCACTTGTACCCGGGTATCACTGCGCTATGATTTTATGATGGCAGAAAAGGTAACTAACTGAGATTCTCTAGCTACATAAAACGGATGGATTTGAAAATGCATAATTGAAAACTTGCATATTTGAAAACAAGCTATAGGGTTTCTGTGTCCTGGAGCTTGAGTCTATTCAGACTAAAAGCCAAGTCATAGTCTGGCACTATGTAGATGAGTGCTGGACTTGTGCACTCTGTCTTCCTCCCCTTGTGTGATCTGATTTGCCACCTCACTTCTTCACTTTAGTTTGCATTTGCACTGTCTAAACTAGGCTTACTATGGTTTAAACAAGCCAAAGTCTATGTGGTTCAGGTGTACAGCAAACTTATGTTTTAATTCTCAGTCAGAGGCAAGAGATTCTACCCTTGCTCCCTGAAGCAGAGCAACATGTTACACACGTGATCAGTATATTACACAAATAGCAGGAGCAAGTATAGATCACAGGTGACCAAACTATATGAGCTATATGCTCCAGGAAGAGTTAGAGGAATGGGGACAGAGAAGGGACTTACAAGGTTTTAGGATTTCCCAAACTTCTTCTCTAATTTGTTTCAAATGCCTGTAGTGATCATAATGTAGTATATTGTAATATATGTAGTATATTATTTATCTTTATGCACCAAGCCTCATAGATACAACATAGATACAACTCTGCATACTGTACATCTGCAGAATTTTGTTTATTATGCAGATCAAAGTTTTATTTATTTACTTTTCAGCATTTGTATGGTACTCCTTGGGCAGCTTACAATAAATGGCCATTTGTACAACAAAAATGTGGGAACTGCTGCCTAAAATTACACTTTGTAGCCAGTATGAAGGTCTACTTCCTTTTGGAGTATCCCACACCAAATTTACTGTGGAAAACTGATTTGGGCAGTTTACATTCTCTTACAGATCTCAGTATTACCTCTTAACAGAAGGATTGAACTAAGAGTCTTAAGAATTAAAGCAGGCCAATATTATCAAACAGCAAATGCTCTGTATTGTTCAGTATCCCCTATTCCTTCACTGGAACCCCAGACCAAACTGAAATTGCTAAATAAAATTATAAAGGCTCCCTTTCAGAAAGTCAATCTTACACTTTCAGATTTAGCCCAGCATAACTGCAGTGAAAGTTAAGAGGATTATTAAATACTAGACATTCCATTGTGATATATATATGCCAATTTGTAGCTATGAAGTCTGATATAAAAGGTTTCCTTTTAATTCCCCATTCTAGCTTATTGTGATTGAAATTAGCACTTCATTGGTTTGAAAGTCCGGGGAGACATCTTGAGCTAAAAGGTTCCTGCATAATCAAGTTTGCTTTAGATTAGATCAGGCATAGGCAAACTTGCCCCTCCAGAGGTTTTGGGACTACAACTCCCATCATCCCTGACCACTGGTCCTGCTATCTAGGGATGATGGGAGTTTTAGTCCCAAAATATCTGGAGGGCCGAGTTTGCCTATGCCTGGATTAGATGACCCTTGTGGTCCCTACTCTATGATTCTTTGGTTCTTTGCATCCTTAAGGATGCAATTCAGCAATTTGCCCTTACATGTTCAAGAACAGTTTCTTAATACTTCCAAGGCATAGTCTGAAGACACATGATGTTGCCATCTTGTTGAAGTTCAGCAGATATGGGTCTGGACCAGCACCTGGATGGCAGACTACATGTTGGCAGGTGTAGCCAGGCCCTCTGCAGCACTGAGCCTCTCTCCAAATGGCAGAGTTCATCAGAGCCTGAGGGAAATCTCTGTTGCATCCTATCTCACACTTCCCAGTGTATTTCATGTCACTTTCCTTATCACAAAAATGTCCAGTCTTTTTGGGTAGCAGGGTTTGTTGCATAAGACCTCCCATCCAACTATAATTGCACAGCCTCCGTTTTCTGGCACATGATTGACTCCCACCCCAAAATGGCGAAAGTCTGGAAGCACCCTTGGAGAGCTCTCTTTGCTGGTCACTTAGCTGTTGATTCATAACATTTTGTTGTGCAGTTAAAAAAAGGGGGGGGGGAGGCTAGCAAGCTCAAACAATTTGCAACCCACCAAACTAAAAAACCCAAAACACCTGATTTTGCTGCCAGCATGAGACTACAAAAACAGGGTTATTGAATAGCCATTCAATTGTAGCCTGCCTTTGGCTTTTGGTTCACAAGTTATTAACTATCACAATCCATTTTAATCCTGCTGTTCCTCCAATGATCTCAAGACAACTCCTATTTTCTACCATGTTATCCTTACAACAACCTGTTAAGGGAGGCCAGGTTGAGAAATAGTGTCTGGTTCACTTTCACCCAGTAAGCTTCCTGGCTGAGCAGGGACCAGAGCCAAGATCTCTGTTATTCCTGTTGTGTAGGCAGGTATTAAACCTGTAGACATCAGACCAATCATGATGGAGCTCTCTTACTTGGTCTGCTAGAAAGTAATCCCCTGTTGTGAATGCAGTTCACACTGTGTTCTGGTCTAGCCAGCCTTGTTGTCATAATGTGTATTTAATGGGTCCAGCACAGTAGAGAAGGAGAACACTTGGCTGTTACCTTTAGCAAACAGAGAGAATGCAAGCCGTATGGAAAACGCTAGTTTAAATTTTGCTTTTTTCGGAAAAGAGACTGCTCAGCAAATTCTTTTGGAAAGAAAACTTGAGCCCATCTCTATTCAACATGAAAACACAGGAATCAGGAGACAAGGGCTTTCTTTCTATTTTGAGCTATACAAGGTGCTGCTGATGTAATAAAAGGATTAAAATATGCTGACAGAATTGCTCTTTGCTGGTCTTGCGTGGCAAATGTAATTTGTGAAAAATAATGTGGTAGTATATTGGTCATTTATTCTGAAAGTAATGTTGTCATCAAATGCAATTTTGTTAAACTTAAGAGAGAAAGAAATAAAGTAAATGGGATATTAGAGGTGATCAAATCTGAATTAAGAATTCCTTGTGAAGAATTTGTCTTCATTGAATGGTGTGGGGGGTTTTGTGTGTGTGTGTATTTTTGAGCTTTTCAAAAGTACTTTTCAATGAAAAGACAACTTCCTTCCAAGTTGTGAATGGAATGTCAAGTAGCACTTTCAAATACAGACCTTTTGGGTAACTGAAATTATATGCGAATCTTGATACAATCCACTATTGGTTTTCGAATGCACAGGGAGATGACTTTTAAAAATGTATTATGATAGTAGGTAGCAATGCTATTTTCAAATCAGTTATTTATTTGTTCATTTTCCAATTGAAAAAGTATATTCCTTGCCCCCCTCCCCTCCCCTTTCCTCTGTTCTTTTTCTCTGTCAGCAACACAGTTTTGTATATGAAGAAAGAAGCTTAGTTTGGTTTTGTGTGGGCTTTATTGGTTTTGAAAGACTGCAGGAATTCTTTGATCTTCCTGGTCCTGCAGACTGCTTTCATAAGCAGAAACAAGCTGTGATCCTAAACACAGTTACTAGGAAGAAAGTCCCATTGAACATAGTGGGGAATACTTCTGAGTAAACGTGTAGGGGTTGTACTTCTATGATATGCCATATTTTCTTAGGTGATATATAAACATAAAACTGAATGTTTTCTTAGGAAATTATATAATTATTATTAAATGCATGTCAGCTATAGAAGGCTTGTAGTTCAGTGGTGTGGTTCATTGTTTTCCATGCAGAAGTTCCTGGTTCAATCCCCTACGTCTCCAGGTAGGGCTGGAAGCGTCTGCTGTCTGAAACCCTGAAAAGCAGCTGCTAGTCATCCTTGACAGTACTGAGCTTGATGAACCAATGGACTGACTCCTGATAAGGTTGCTTCCTGTGCTCAGTCCACATTTAGAAATTAGGGAATACGAAGGGGAGCATGAAGTCAGCTATGTTGTCCCCAAATAACAGATGCTAATTGAGCACTAAGTGTTCTTCCCATGTAAGAGAACTGCCCTCTGAGATTGCTCGGTGCAATAGCAAAAAATAACAGTAGCATCTTAGAGACCACCTAAGTTTGTTATTGGTATGAGCTTTCGTGTGCATGCACAGGAGCCACCTTTTGAAGCATACATCCAAGATCAATCACTAAATCATTTAGAACGTGTTTCAGAAGAACACTTTGATTTATATGAAATATCTGATCTGGTTATATTCCATGTAAAAAATAAACATCTATAACATTGATTTTCTTCATTAGGCAGATAGATGGGATTGTTTTCCGGCTATCGGGAGGCTTTTAGCTTTCTGCGTCTTTTCCGGTTTGATTATCTGTCTACATAAGTGCACTCCCCTGAAATAAAACTCTCTTCAGGCTTCCTTCCAGTATGTAAATGGAACTGAGAATCTGCTGCATTTCCTGTAAGCTGTGCAGGTTTCTTGCTGCTGCTTAAGTGGAGCTTTTTCTATGGGATTGCTTCACTCTGTTCATAGCTCATACTTGCTAGCTATGCAGGGCAAATTAAAGTGAGTTCTTTCGTGTTAATTAGAGATGAAATATCCACCAGGATGTTTTCCTGGGCAAGCTGCACTGAAATCCTACATTTTAAATTGTACTTGAACAGCTGCCATTCATTTCAATCATTTCATTTTAGGAGAGCTTCCCAATGGATTGGGAGCCATCCTCCCCACACCCGCCTTTTTGCCGTGTTCTTTAGAGTTTAGATTTCAACCTGATCATAATCGTGTTCACTTAGAAGTAATTATTCCTAGCATACTATGTTTTAACTGTTCAAAGCTCTGCACATATATTGTCTCTATCATCCTTACACCAGCCCTGTAAAACAATGCTGTTACCTATAAATTAACAACAGTAGCTGAGGCAGAGAAAACAGAAGCGCACGCTAGACCACTTGCATGCAAGGCACCCCCACTACTCTTTGGCGCCCCCCAATAGAATCATAGAGTTGTAGTATTGGAAGGGACCCCAAGGATCATCTAGTCCAACCCCCTGCAATCCAGGAATATGCTGCTGTCCCATACAGGGATCGAACTTGAAACCTTGGCATTATCAGCACCACGCTCAAACCAACTGAGCTATTCAGCCTGACCCAAGAATAAGAGACATGGCAACTAATATTTGGGTGAAATCAGGCCACAGCTTTATTGACAACAGATGTAAGGAGTTTAGCATAGGCATTGCCCGCCTGCCAGAATAACTTATGGGGTCAACTGGAAATGAGGGAGTCCCCGACCTCCATCAAGGGGGAATGCCCCTACTGGATTGCACCTGGGGAGTGCTGTGGCCCAACAAAAAGTGGCTGCAGAGTGGCCTGTGTTATATACTGGAGGGGCTGGCTAAGCCTGGTGACCCATGCCTGCTTGCAAATTGCTGATTAGGCGAGCAGGTGGGGCCAATTACCCAGGCAGCAAGCTCGGCTCAGAGGCTTCCTTTGCTGCCCAGGAAACAGTCCTAGGGACCTCCCACATCAGATCTTGGCATGCTGCGGAGTGCCAGTCTGCAGTGGCTACAAGAGAGTGTGAGTGGACTTGGTGAATTCATGGCTGAGATGAGATTTGGACTCCAGATTTACCAACTCATCACCATACTATACCAGCTCCCTTGTGTAACCCAACAGATGTTCAGAACTGGCCCAGGGCATTTTGCTGTCTGATGTGGAACAGCAAATGACACCCCCAATTGAGGTGCACAAAAAAATCCCAGAAGCATGTCTTCCTAGGAGCAGAAGTACAAGAAAACAAACGAAATACATAACACGTTGTATCCTTTCACGACAACTAAGGCTGTGTGCGCACAATACCTTTAAAGCACATTCTTGGCACTGTAGTTTGTTAAGAGTTGCTGGGAATGGTAACTCTGTGAGGGCTAAACTACAGTGGCCAGAATTATTTACAGGAAAGAATTTGCTTCAAATGTGCTTTGAAGGTGTAGCATCTGTACAGCTCAAACAGCTGCTTGAGGCAGCCACACCACTCGACCTAATGGTAGAGCCAGCCCTGTAATGTATGCAGCATTAGTCAAGAAACATGCCAATTTTTGCTTTGTTTCTTTTATTTTAGGTGTCCTTGGTGGGCTTCTTATTCTTACTTGGTTTGTACATTTCATCTTTAGCATCCTGCATGGGAGGTCTGTATGGAGCACCCCGAATCCTTCAGTGCATCGCCCAAGAAAATGTGATACCAATACTTGCATTTCTTGGACGGGGGGTATGTAAACATGGAACATAGACTCATCCGCCTTTTCTTTACAGTACACAAAAGTTCAGACAAGCATACGTTTGGTTTATCTCACCAGACTAGTAGCTAGCTGCTAATTGAGTTTCCAGAAGCAGAGGGATATTTAGATCTCCAGTCAGTCTGAGTAGGAAGCACTGTAATCTTCCAAACTTTGTGTAAGAGAAAACCCAAACTAGCTTCTAAACCACGAACTTTATTTGGAATGGACCCTCAATTCCACATTGTTCGTACCTCATCTGCTACCTCTCAACATATTCTTGCATCTTTCTTTGCCAAATGATTCTCAAGCTCTTTTGTTGTTTGTTTTAAGAGGGAAGGCCTGTGGTGAACCTTTTCTCTCCAAGCCGGAATTCAGAAACACTCTAGAACACAGGCACTGTTTAAAGTGAGGGTCCACATTAAACTTCTAAAGCTAATGCATCACAGTGTTTCTCTTTGATCTGGCAGACGCACTTGGTGCCTCTGTTTGTGTACTTTTTGTTGTTGTTTACAATTAATAGCTGCTGAGCAGGGACAGGGCAGGGATTTGTAATGAAAGTGTGGGGAGTGAGCTAACTCATTCCTCCCCTAGTGTGGCTACAAGAAAGGAGATTCCGACTAAACATCAGGAAGGACTTTCTGACAGTCAGAGCTGTTCGACAGTGGAATGGACTCCCTTGGGAGGTGGTGGACTCTCCTTCCTTGGAGCTTTTTAAGCAGAAGTTGGATGGCCATCTGTCATGGATGACATACTTGAGATTCCTGCATTGCAGGGGCTTGGACTAGATGACCCTCGGGGTCCCTTCCAACTCTACAATTCTGTGAATTCTATCTGCAAAGATTCTAATCAGATTATTACCCATACATAACAATATGTATATTCTTTCTGTTCTAACTATAGAAAGGACCAAACAAAACCCCGGTGGCTGCAATCTGCTTAACAAGCCTCATCACCATGGCCTTCGTTTTCATTGGCCAAGTGAATGTCCTCGCTCCAATTGTCACCATAAACTTCATGCTTACCTATATTGTCGTGGATTACTCCTATTTCTCTGTCTCCATGAGCTACAGACTTCAGCAGAGCTCCAAAAGGATACTGAGAGAGGATTCCAAGGTCGGGCTCAGCTGTTCTCGGCCTTTAATACTGGACAAGCCATCCTGTTATGGATCAGGTGGAATAATGCAAGGCCGATCCGATGGCACCTTGCTAGAATTCACAAAAGACATGGATCATATTTTTAGGCCTCCCAGCCAAGACCCAGGGGCCAATCTTGAGGGAAAAGAAAAGGACATGGGTGTTAGCCAAATGGCCAAGCCCAGGAAGCAGAAGAAGGCAGTCAAACAAACGTTACAAGACAGCTTTCTCTTGGATCTTGGCAATAACATTGCCTCTACCCAGGATCTTTGCAGTGGTGACCTGGAATCCAGTGACAAAAGTATGCAGAGCTTTTCAGAGCTGAATCACCAGGACGAAGAGAGTTCTGCTGCTGTAGGACCCAAGCGGAAGCAAGACCAAGACAGAGGCCAGCATTTTGAAGAGAGGCAGAAAACTGCCAGTCACCAAGTGGAAGGTAACAAGAAGCACAATTAAACTTACCTTTTAAAATGAAGAATATTGCTGGTACTCCTCCGTAGGCAAGAATGGAAATCGGTTTTTACAGGGCCAGTCTGTCAAAACTGGCAACAATTTATCCTTTTTTTCATAACTGTAGAGTCTGTTTTAATGATTCACAAGAGATTCTCCTCTAATTTGCCTGTGGAAATGTTGCCCAGATTTAATTCAGTGCAGGAAGATTTACTATTTACAGTGTACTGTGCCAGTAGTCTACATATGAATCCTTTCACTGTGAGATGTATCGCAACATTTATTTTTACCTTGACGTGGGAGGTAATTGCTTCCAAAAGTTAACATCCTAAACATCAACTCTCCATTCTTTACAAGCAGAAATGATTGTGGTGGTCTTCATCAGATAATTCTGATTGTGGTCTAGAAACTGAAATTGTTGAATTTCATGCCCGTATATTTTTCCCTTTCCAAAATGTTGCCTTCTGCATAATTGTAGTGTGAAAAGGACCTGAGGCATGCAGCGTTCAGTAGCTAAGCTCAGCAAAAGCTCTCCTTACCTAAACAATCTTATTGGAACATCTCATAACTTGGACTGCTGTGTTATCTGAATGTGAATAAATTCTAAATTCTGTGACCAGAACTAGTTGCAGCATAATATATTGCTATTGGCACAAACTGTGTTTCCAAATAATTGGGATTTTCATTTTCATTTTTGCAAGGAATATAGTAATAGGAAAGGGATGGAGAAAGGAGAAGAGCTGGAGTACTGGCCAGCTGTATGTTCTGCATGTATAGTGATATATTTATGTTCCTCTGAAACCTTGGAGCTCGTCAGGGAAGCCTCATGCCAAGAAGGCCACTCCCTCAGCATCTATGTGAGGAGCCCCCTTGTTGTCTTGATTGGCCAACAAAGGCTGGACTGTAGACAGGAACAAAAACATCTGCTTAGTAGTGGGGAAATTGTTACCTGAGCCTCTCCAAACCCCTCCTCCAGAGGAGCTGCCATTGAAGAATCCCTTAATTTTTGCCCCTTTCTAAACTAAGCATCTTCAGTAGGCTCTCCTTGCAGAGATTTTGGCTCTTGAAGCAGACTTGGGGCTTTCTTGGGACTTTCACATCAGAGAAGGAGAAAAGTTAGCTTGTTGCTAGAAAACTTCAGAACAACACAGCACCTGATACTTGAATTGTATCCTCTGAAAGCAATAAGTTTTTTGGGGGGTGGGAGGGAGAAGACACTGCAGCTGGATTTGAACTTCTGACAGAAGAAGGAAGAAGTTTTGTTCAGGCATAGTGAACTATGTGATCCCTATCAAGGGCACTTGAGTGCCTAGGCCTGATCCTTCAGAATCTATCCATTGTTCTACTGTCTCTCTCCTTCTCTAGATTTAAATGTAAAACAACAAAGCCAAGAATTAGAAATTCAGAAAATGCCAGCGTCTTTCTACTCCAGACTCTGTGACCGTTGGGTTTCCCTTGTTGGTGTGAGTTACTCTATAATATTTCAAACCTTTCTTTAGGATAATAAGCAGGTGGCAACTAACATTACTTACAGATCCATAGGGATGCTTCAAGCTTCACAGAAAAGGCTACATATATATGATGCAAGAGAGTATCTTTGAATACGAAGTTTTAATCAGTATAGGTGTTGGGTTGGAAACCTAGGAGGAAACAAGAAATAGCAAAAAAGGTAATGCAATCTGGAGTGAGATGCCAGGACACTATGAGATGCTTCAGATCAGGGAACTACAAAATGAACCAGCCAGTTAGAGTATAGCATCACCAGGAACCTGTTCACAATTGGGTAAGATGGAACCCAATGGAGTTAAGATTTCAAAGTTGTTGTTTTTCAGTATGGATACAAACCTACCTTGTGAACAGTGATTTAGGGACTTTAAAAGGTGAGTATACAGATGTGGTGTATCAGCAACTATTAGTCTTGATGGTTACATGGAATTACCAGATTCAGAAGCAGTATGCATATGAGATGCCCTACTTCTGGGCTTTCCAGAAGCATCTGGCAGGTCACATGATTGGAAACACGATGCTGGGCTACATGGACGCTTGGTCTGATTTAGTAGAACTCTTGTGTTCTGCCTGTCACTCAAACTAAATGGAGCTAAATTTTCAGCTGCTTTTCCCATTTGGATCACCATGTGCTCTTTGAAAATTCTAATTTAGACTAATCACATGCTCAGACTGGCATTTGGAGAATGTGGGTCATGTAATTTGCTTCATTCTCAAAATGCAACTTGTTTCCCATGCCACTGAAGACTTACTCATTAAATGAGAGGTTATCCCCCACCTCTGCTAAGTACCAGAATGGGTTTTGTGGCAGGTCCTGAAAAGTTGTAAAAAGTAGGGTGAGACTTGGAAGAATTATTCTAAGCAGTTTGCTCTCCTTCAGATTGCCTAGCAATGTTTGATTTTAAAATAAAGTAAACATTATGGGGGGAAATGGCAGCGCTAGTTACTGTACCCCAGAGTAATCCTACATTTTTCATTTTCCAACAGGCAATAGGATCACTTGCAATTATGTTTGTTATTCAGTGGATCTACACTCTTGTTAATTTGGGATTAGCAATTATTCTATATTTCTACATTGGTCAAGTGAGTCCAGGGTTACCACCTGGTAAGTGTTTTCACTTAGATCGGTCTCAGTTTACATTATGTTTTAGTTGCATGAAAATATCCCATCTTCTCATTGGTGTTAACGCTTTTTAATTTACTTGCTTATTTTTGTAGCTTAGACTATCAAAGGTTGTTGGGGTGGATGATGATGATGATGATGATAAGAGCATTATCAATCCAGTTGTAGCAGAAGAAATGTTAGGCAGATAAAAATGCAGTTACACTTTCCATCCCTTTATTGATGTAACCCTAATCTTCCAATGCAACCCATTCTCTTGCACTGCTTCTGAAAGACCCTGAGACTTGAACATTGGGAAATCTCAGTGGAGATGAATTTCGTAATGATGGGAGGAGAGGAGGTGTCACTGAGAACTTTTCTCCATTGCTCTCTTCCTCTCTGAACCTGGCAGTGTCTGTCTGACATGGAGGCCCTGAGCTTAATTGCAGATTACATGTATGGTTTTGTTGCAAGTCATAAAATAAGATTCTTTGACTCTGGGATGAGGAACCTGTGGATCTCCAGATGTTGACTACAAGCTTCTGTCATTCCTGACATTTAGCTTGGTCTGATGAGAGACTGGGTGCAGCAACATCTAGGGAGCCCCGCAGACTGCCCATTTAAATAGCTTGGCTGCATTTAGAATGATCAGGCTCGACTAGTTGATACCTGTTGCAAAATATTTTAATTTATTCTGTTGCACCTTCGTGGAATAAATTAGGTGGAGTTATTGCCTTACAGGAATTTTGTTTTTAAGATGAAAATATAAGTGGGTCATATCCATTCATAACCTCCCATCCACCCGTCTAGATAAATCCTCCTGAGAAAAATGCTTCGAAGATTGGAATCTCATTAAATACCAGAATTTCTGACTACAAAGCGGAAGCCCCTTTGATTTATGAAGTAAAACATGTTAAATATTCAAGAAATGTAATCTGAGGAAATACTCTTTAAGCTAAAAGAGTATTAAAAGAGTCTGTGCATGTCAGGTGTTTAGGGGTTTTGTGTGTGTCTGATTTAGAATGTAGTACTCGATGGCACTAAAATAGCAAGTACCACAGCCTATCATAGTGGTTCCCAGGCTTTAATTCAATTTCACTGACTACGTAGCTGTAGATGTAGCTCCCTGATTCTTTTTAGGGATAGTTTTGTTCTTACAAAATACAGCCACGGAGGAAGCAATTTGAGAGGAAGCAATTTGAGGTGAACTGCAGGGGCAGTTCTTATCTTTTCACCTCAAGTCACTCCCGGGATGGCCTACTCAAACCTGTAGAACGTTGACATGTGTTTTACTCTGGTTTTTTAAACTCACGGTTGATTAATTATTTTTGAATGTTTAAAATTGGTTTTAACTGCCTTTTTAATTTCATTGGTAAATTCTTTTTGTAAACCAGTTTGAGGGTTGTTTGCTTGTTTGTTTTACAATAAAAATTTTATTAAATAAATAAACAAACAGCACCACCCAATATTGCCCACACTGTGCAGATTTTACCTGCGTGGTTGCCTGCATGTTTTCTTGATGGGTAAAATGCAGCTTGTGGGAGTTTTTTTGGTAGAATAGACTTCATTATTAAACCTTCTTCCCTCCACAACAGCCCCTTTTCTTTCAAATCGTAGTCTCAATGACTCCATTTTGTAAAAAGCAAATCCCCCCCCCCCAAAAAAAGAACCACAGATCTGCATGTCAGAACATAAGGAGAGTCCTGCTGGGTGGGTGCCCTCAACCATAGGAGATATAAACCTCTTACCAAAATACCAAGGAGAGCAGGTTGAGGATGTAGTGCCATCTAAACAAACCAGGGTCAAGCACAGGGAATCACTTCAGGCCAAAAATGTGGGCCAGAGTCAGGCAACAGTTCAGGGTCAATACCACAGAGAGTCTGAACAAAGTCTAGCTAGGTTTGTGAACAAGGAGCCAGCAACTTGAAGGCTCAAGAGGGAGACCTTATATACTCTGCCCCACTAGATCTCATCGTTCAGGGATTCCTTATTCATAAGATCCTGACTCTGCGTCCATAGACACATGCCATCACTTTCCAGGCCTGGACCTTTTGGCACAAGCATGCTTTATGCATGTATGTATGCATGTATGAATGACAGTCCTTCACCGGAGGATTACAGGGCAGTTTACAATATAAAAGCACAAAAATACATAACATAGTAAGGAACGAAAGCAATACCCCCTTCCACAATTTAAACGGCCATAGTTTGTTTAATTAGCCGAAGGCAGGGTGAAAGAGGAATGTTTTTGCCTGATGGCTAAAGATAGGTAAGGAAGGTGCCAGGTGAGACTCCCTGGGGAGAACATTCCACAAGCAGGGAGCCACTGCAGAAAAGGCCCGTTCTCGGGTTGCCACCCTTCAGACCTCTCATGGAGGAGCCACATGACGGAGGGCCTCAGATAAAGATTGAAGGGTCCATGTCAATTCATATGGGGAGAGGCAGTCCTTGAGGTATTGCAGTCCTGAGCCATTTAAGGCTTTATAGGTCGAAACCAGCACTTTGAATTCTCCTGGAAAGTAAATGGCATCTATGCTCAAACTGTCTTGCCCTCAATGTTATTTACAGCCTGCAGTCACTGATTCAGTGACTATCGCAAAGCCTCAATTTGAGGAGAAATATGAAAAACACATTCCCACCATTATTAAACCTTTAAACTTTGGGCCAGCTTGGATTAGTAAGGATCAATGCAGAGTTTTAGATTGTGTGTCAAGTTATTAACAGCAGTTTATCAATAGTGCAACTTATTTTGTCTTTTTTTTCTACAGGTGTAGCCGCCAACTTCAGCTTTTTCCAATGGATAAAACAACTTTTACTTAATGCCTGCAGGTTGGTGTTAACTAGGAAAAGAGACGTTTCATATCCTTAATTAATTTGAGATTAACAGTGCAGTCCTATCCATGAGTAAAAATTAAGTCCCATCGAGTTCGGTGACACTTAATCCTAGGTATAGGATTGCAACCTAAGTTATTTAGATCTCAGATATATTACAAAATACCACAAGACATATTTCTCATAAGCCATTCAGCATAGCTAATTAAGTAAAGGCCAAGTCATTCTTTCTGCCCTGCTTATAATCAGTCTTGGCTCTCCTACAACTCACCTGCTAAATCTAAATGGCACCATACCAACTATAATCTCACTTTTAATAGATTCTGAGGGAGCAAGAATTTTGCTTCACTTCCTAAGGTAGGGTTAACTGCACAACCTGCATTTTATCTTTTACATTGCAGAGATGCATAAGGTAACAGCTTATACCCCACCTATTTTTCAAAATGTCCAGTTACATCCCCCAGAGCCACTGAAACATTAGCAAACTTGAATGAACAGAGGTGCACTTGAAGTGCACTTAAGTGCATTGTATGGTGCATTCTTGAAATGCATCAGCAGGTAGTACAATTACTTTATTGATTCTGATTCTCTGGTTGAATGAAGAGCAACTCCATTGTGTCCACAAGGAACCAATGATGGGGAAGGAGGAAGACCTTAAAATTAGTAGCGAAATGTGGGAGAATATTCTGCCTAGTCATCGAGGTCTCCACAATAATCCATATTATATTATGGATTATATATTATGATTGTTATTATGGGATGTATTTTTGTGTTTTTTGTATTGTAAATTATCCTGTGATCTTTGGATGAAGGGTGGTATAGAAATATAATAATACTAAATAATAATAATAATAATAATAATAATAATAGTCATCAACAGCTACACTTTGTTGGATTTAGAGCTGTATGCACTCTTTTATGGATATGTGTGTGTGAATAGCTATAATATTAGTTTTATAAGTACTTGCACTACATTTAACTTTGCCATATTAAGAGTAGAATTGCATATCACACACAGCATCATTCTGTGATCATTGTACATACCGTAAGTTTTTTTCTACAAAATGCAGCCACTGAGGCTATAGTGGGTTTTTTGTGTGGGTGGGGAACTTTTTAACCCTTTCCCTCCAAGTCATTCTCTTGCCAGAAATCACCCTGACCAAACCACTCATTTACAGAATTCTGAACTTCCCTGACTGTTTTGAGTTAGCTTCTCTGGCAGGGGTACCGAATGACTCCCAACCAGATAGCATGGTCAATGGTTATGGATGATGGAAACTATAGTTAAAGAACATCTGGGGTTGTGGGTACCATATTGGCTACTCTGCTCTATAGGTCCTTCTCTATGGTCATTTGCTGCTTTATGCTTTCCCAGACTCTCCAAGTGTCCCCTCTTCTGTTGTATTTGCTATTGCTGCTTCACATGTTGTAAACACTAGCTGTGTACTTACCAGATGACATATAGAGCAAAGAAGCAAAGTCTGTTACCTATTGCCACCTGTTCTGGTAAATATAATATTAATTTCAAATAAATTTACAAACCAATGAAATAATAAGAATCAAACTGAGGGAAACCTTCAATTAGGGTTAAAAAAAACAAACAAACACAAGTTTAGGATGCTAGAAATATGTTCTTACATTCTCTAACCCTGAAAAACGCAGTTTCAGCTTCCTTCAGTTTTTGTCAAAGAATTATTGCAGTTGCTCTATATCCACAACATAACGTGAAATTGCCATCCATCAGAAACCATGTCTCTTGAAATACAGAAGAGCATCATAGATGATTAACACATATCTTACCTTTCTTTGCTTGCCATTTTCCACATCCCTTATGTTTCTTCCTATAGGAGTCCTTGTTTATCTTTTCATTTTCACTACTTTGCATAAGTTCATCTGTCAGCAGGTACTTCTACTAGATACAAAGGAGGACAGCAATCTTAATAACTTGTAGTAATTTTGTAGAAGAGGGCATTTCAGCAGGTGCAACATTAGGCACCCTTCCTAAATATCTGAACCTGCCAACTCCCACATCTCTACAGTTGTTACGGGAGCCCCTTTCCTATATCCCATGCTGCTCTGTGCTGTACATCTGGAACAACCTTCCTATGTAGAGTGTCCGTCCCCCCCCCAGATGATCAATTTATAATGCAACAAATATAAAGTTTCTCATTTGTTGATAAGTATCTTGATATCTTCTCTTAAGAACGTGCTTCTGTTTGGGGACTAAGCATTCAAATTTCAACATGCTGTTAGGAAAATGCAGTTCTTATGCAGTTAGAAGAATATAGCAATTTGAAGTGCTGTCTGGAAAGTGGTAGCAAGAGTACCATCGGATGTGGTCCAGAATTTCATTGAGGATGAATAACTTAACTCTCCCCCCCCCCAACATGCCTTTACCATATTCTTTACCACTTTACCACTTGCAAAGAGATGTCTTTCATGGGATTAGATGTTAATTAGACTCAAAGCAAAGTGTGCACCTGACCCTTGTCAATGTTAGTCTCTTAGCAGCTAGTTTTCACTTTGAGAAAATTGCTAGCATTTTTGTGAGTTCAAGATGTAACCACTCTGGGGCCACAACTGGTGGCAGGGAAACTCCCATAATGTGTGCCTCTTGCAGTAAGAACATGTTACAAGTTTTTTAGGGGCTGTATTTACTCATTCCCTCTATATAGCAAAACTGCCCTAGTTGGAAGCATTTTTACACATTTTAGTAATTCAAAAGGCCCTAATGACATTAAGGGTTTAAATGCTACTGCACTTCCTACAACAGTTTAAGAAGGATGCTTCTGCAAATTAGATGCGAATGCAATTGAGATTGGTCTTAAGTACATTTAAATTCACATTCAGAATATAAAAGTATAATTTTAAAAGGCATTGAATAAGTGCTTAGTAGTCTTTTACGATTTTGCTGAAAAACAACAAAAGTGCAGGATGAATTTTCTGGCCTTTTCATTCTTTGAATTGTTGCATCCTAACTGGAAAGCACTAAAAGCAAACGAGCAGGCATTATTTTACATGAACTGGTCTTCAGCCATACGTTATAGATTTAATTGGTCCAAACATTAGTGCAGTTTTATATGCCTGGAGCATTTGAAGCAATTGGGAAATAACCAAAGAGACGCAAGTGTATGTATTAAGGAAAAAAAACCTTCACTGACCATTTAAAAATAAAACTTACATAAGGAAAGAGTCTATGATGAATTTTGGCCAAACCCTCAAGTCATAAGGAAAAGTTTGCATTCTTTCTTCAAGTGCCGTGTCTTTGTGCATAGCAGAGTGGATTCCTTTTCTCTTTCTCTTTCTCTTTTTTTCTATTTTTGTTTACACAGTTCAAGAGTGCAGCTGCAGATGTATTGGGAAACAATGGGGCATCTGAAGGTTCTGCGTTCCTTTTGTTTTTCAGGGGAAAGCCATCCCCGGAGGAGCGATTTGTTGTGACACCGTCCCTTGCAACAGTTGGCATGGAGACCACTCAGCTCACAGAAGAGAATACAGATTTTGCCTCCCGGGACCGCTACCACCATTCCTCTCTTATCACCAGAGAAGAGTTTGTTAATCGGTTCCAATGAGAAAGCAACATGCCCATTCAATCTGCCAGCCAATTAAAAACACTGGCCACAGACACACCACTTGATTAAAAGGCTTTCCCTTTTAGAACCGATTTTAATGAATACTGAAACTTCCAATTAAAGGAGGGAGTCGGGGGGGGGAGTTTTAAAGCATTGGCTTCCAAACTCTGTTCTGTTCTCTTCTATTCCGCCCCCCCCAAAAAGGAGTTTTGCAGCTTTCCCAGAACATTGGGGGTATTTGTGTCCGATAACTCCACAGTTCATATTTTTTCTTTAAAAAATACAGTTTTATAAAGTTTTCTGGTTTTGTTGTAGACTGTTTATATGACACACTTAATTCTAATATGTCCATATCTTAGCATGTAATTCAGAAAACCATAGGTACAGGATACCAGAAGAATGAAAAAGGGAAGCAACAGTAGTCTTCAGTATAGGTAGACTCAGCAGGTGAGTTGCTAGACAACTGAGCTTTGGAGACACAGTTTTGTCAAACTTTAGCTGCCCAGAAAGAACCAATGCTAAATCTATATGTAGTGCCCCTTACCCATTGTAGTGTGAAACAGACAGCCCCGTATCAGACACGTTCTATGCAGCAACTGAGAATTTTTTAAAAAAATTAAACCATCAGAGCTTAAAATGAGGATTGCGTGTTGTGATCGGGCACAGAAATTAACTCAGAATTAACAATAAGCTGCATGCAGACAAGTGAGCAGGCTGGCAGGAGTGCTCCCTAACCTTTCTCTGGATCAAGCATAGAAACCAAGCAGGCCCACCTGAGGAAGGAAGTCCCCCATCTCCACATTCTGTATAGAAGTGCAGTGGGGTGTTAGAGGAGGATGGAGCTCCATTTCTGCCAGCTACCAGAACATTGTTGTACTTTTGTATGCGCATTTACAAGGCTGACTTAGAAACCCTCTTGACAATTTTTTATTTAACCTGGCTGAGTGCTTCTGACCCTTAAGTCTCTACCCCACCCCCAGCTACTGTGTCTATCTACCGTTTTTATCTACTGTTTTAATGATACCTGATGGTTGTGTGGAAGACAGGTCATCAAGAGGAATCATGTGTTACATGGACTCAGACTGGAGCAGTACCAGAATTCGGTATCATGGTGCTTAGGGTGGACAACATGAAACATGCCCCCGCCGCCAAACCAACCTCTTATTTTATGATGTGAAAAATTAACAGCAGTTGTAATAAAACGTTAAACAGCAAATATATTTCCAGGTCTGAATTAATCGACTCAGTTAGTGGGTACCCATGGATTATTTTCAGGAGCTCTAAGCTTGTTGCTGACTCTGGAACTGGGAGAATTGATCTGGAAGCTGTAGTGCAGAATGCTGCAGCATGAGTGCTGACAGGAACATGACCCTATAAGCATGTAGCTCCTCTCAGAAATCTGCGCTGGTTGCCTATTTGCCACTGGGCCAAGTTCAAGGTGTTAGTATATAAACATGGGACCACTTGTAGGGTTGCCTCACACAATATATGCCTATTCGACCACTTTGATCTGTAGAACTGGCATTGTTGGCAGCTGCCACGTAATACAGTGGTACCTCGGGTTACATACGCTTTAGGTTACAGACTCCGCTAACCCAGAAATATTACCTGGGGTTAAGAACTTCACTTCAGGATGAGAACAGAAATTGTGCAGCGGCAGCAGGAGGCCCCATTAGCTAAAGTGGTGCTTCAGGTTAAGAACAGTTTCAGGTTAAGAATGGACCTCCGGAACGAATTAAGTACTTAACCCGAGGTACCACTGTACTGCTAAAAACATTTTTTGTTTAAGCAAGCCTATCAAGACACAAAGATGATCACCTTTTTAGCTGCTGTTGATTTTAATCTTTTGAATATTTATAATACCTGTTTTTAGCAACAATTTTTAATGTTTAGTTTTATATTGTTGTAAACCACCTGGAGGGTGGTTTGTTAGTTTGTTTACAATCAAACGGTATATAAATTATGTTAAATAAAATGAATAGAGGAAAAACACAGGAATTTGCCTTATACCATATCTCATTATTGAGTAATTCTTGCACAATATTGTCTGTAGTGACTGGCAGCTGCTCCATGGGATTTTGGGATGGAGCTTTTCACAGCGCTACTTGCATATTCCAGGGATTGAACTTGGAAGCGTTTGCTATGCTTCCCCCACCCCCACACTACAACTCAGCAACAGCACCTCATTTTATTAGCTCACTTTATTTGCATTCCCACTTTGCTTCTAATGGAAGAAAAGCCAGTCTTGCCAGCTAATTCAAAAATATTCTACACAAACTTCTGTAATTCCACCCCTGCCCAATAATTCGGCTTCTGCTTTTACTTGCTTTTTACTTTTCACTTGCTTAAATAATCACTCTCACATGTAAGATAATAAGATACTGTGTCTAATTAATTCAGTTGCCAATTTTATCATTATTCCATATTTGGAGTCTTCGCTGGAGAACTATTAAACTTGTTTGATGCTTGTCAACTGCGAATGTGGGTGAGTGGTGTGTTTTGATTTAAACTTAATCTTCCACAAATTGCAAAGGACGAATAAGTGGCATGTATGAATGAAATATATACTTCCCCTCCCTTAGATCTTAGGGCAATTCATTGTTTCTTTTTCAGAATGTGTTCTATGCAGAAGCAAAATGTTGATGGCAGAAGGGAGGAATGGTGATTTTGCTACCATATTTCATACTACAGTTATTCAGCTGAGATGAATGGTACGTTGCAGAATTTTATGCTTAAGATATTTGTGTTATTCTGCTTGCAAGAAATGATTGCATCAAATATAGAGCAATGTTGTTTTCTTAATCATGTGGACCATTCAAAGCACATTTGTGCTACAGGTGACATCACTTCCTAATAGTGATGCTCTGCGTTTGGGATGTAAGCATAAATTCAAGAGCAGATTACATTGGTCCCAAAGCTAAGGTCTTTTCCAAGATAGTGATATGCCTTTCATAATGCCCAAACCAGTGTGGTGGAGTCAGTGGTTAAGGTTTTGAATTAGGACCTGGGAAATCTGGATTCAAATTCCCACTCAGACAGGAAGGCTGGGTGATCTTGCATTAGCCACTCTTTCTCAAACTAACCTACCTCACAAAGTTGTTGAGAGGATAAACTTAAGAATTCCTTGGATATTTTCAGTAATCAACACTACAGTGGTATAAAAAGCTATTTGAATTCCTGCTCTTTAAATCTGCTTCATTCTTCTCTCTTGTTCGTTTCCTTTCAAAGATATACATACATATTTCTCTGAAATTATTACTTTCATTGGCTATGTGTTTGGCACACTGAAGTCTTATATGCTCCTGTGCCAATATCCTCAAAAATACCTATTTACTTATCTCCTGAAAACTCTACATGCAATTCAATTGATTGATTGTATGCCAATTCATCCATGCAGTTTCTTCCTTTCAATCTGGTTTGTCCTCTTGGAAAGAGTTCAAGTTATTGTTGCAGGTGGGTGATTTTACGTGGTAATCCAGGTTGCAAGGGTAAAATGACAACATGGCAGGCAGAAAGTAAAAAAGTTAGGGGCAAGTCTTGGAAAATGATTCCAATTTTGAGAAGCCATGTATTAAAGTAGGCTGCTAACCTTAAATAAAAGAAACTTTGTGGTGCTACGATGCCTGGCAGTTATGACCATGCAAAATAAAAGATGGGAATAAACTAGAATTGTTTTCTAGTGATTGTAGTATTATTCATGCATCTAGGGCAGCACAGATGTTAATAATATGAGCCTGTTTCAGTTCCACCTTGGCAGCAAATTATTTAGAGTAAAGATGAGGGAGAAAATAGATTTAATTCTCATGAATGGGAAACCTATCTCATTCCCAAAACAACATGCAAATTGAAACATACCTATCCTCCAAAATTTTGTTTTAAAATCCTCCAACCACAAATAATGTGTACATAAATGCATATACTAGGGGAAAGTGTGCACAACATGAAAAAAGTATGCAATATTGGGCAAAACCACATATAAAAATGTGTGTACCGTATTAGGAGAAATATATTCTAAACTACTGATAATTCTTCATGAGAACTTTTATAAAAATAAATCTAAACTGATGTGGAAATGTGAAGAACTGGATTTGCCAATCCATAAATTAAGGGGCCATAGGCAGCTGGGTGTTCTCTCAGCCTCAAGATTCCATTTGCAATGAAAGGATTTTAATGCCAAGCCATTGTATGTTGATGTAAGGATCACTGAGATAACGGCTGTGAAGCTCTGCAAGCACTATACAAGTGCCAAGAATTATTTTATTGCTGTGAGCTCTATAAGATAAAGTAGTTCTGGAGCAACAGTAGTAGTGCTATAAAGATATCACAGCTTACCTTGCATTGGTTTCCAATACAATACTGTAAAGTTAGATGCAACACCTAAAGCTTTTTTCAAGCGACTTTGTGTTTTTCCCATGCATCTTGCTTAGTAGCATGACCAACTACTACAAAGAAACATAAGCAAGCTAAATCTCTTAGCTTGGGTATGGAGGATGATAGTAATGGTGTCTTCGCAATGGAATCTCACTGCATTGGGCAGGATAGTAGAATGCCATGGAGAGTCAGATCATTGGCTCATGAGGATTGTCTACCTGGAGATACCAGGGATTGAACCTGGGACCCTCCTGCATGCAAAGCAGATGTTGTTGTTGTTTAGTCGTTTAGTCGTGTCCAACTCTTCGTGACCCCCTGGACCAGAGCACGCCAGGCACTCCTGTCTTTCACTGCCTCCCGCAGTTTGGTCAAACTCATGCTGGCAGCTTTGAGAACACTGTCCAACCATCTCGTCCTCTGTCGTCTCCTTCTCCTTGTGCCCTCCATCTTTCCCAACATCAGGGTCTTTTCCAGGGAGTCTTCTCTTCTCATGAGGTGGCCAAAGTATTGGAGCCTCAGCTTCACGATCTGTCCTTCCAGTCAGCACTCAGGGCTGATTTCCTTAAGAATGCATAGGTTTGATCTTCTTGCAGTCCATTGGACTCTCAAGAGTTTCCTCCAGCACCATAATTCAAAAGCATCAATTCTTCGGCGATCAGCCTTCTTTATGGTCCAGCTCTCACTTCCATACATCACTACTGGGCAGATACTGTACCACTAAACTATAAGGACTTCCCCTAATGCAACCTCCACCACCTCTTTCTCCTCCCAAGCTGGCAAGAGTCCTGCTCTCTCTCCCCTCCCCTCAATGTTGTAAATGTGAGATAGAAAACAGAATGGAACAATTGTGAAATAAAAGTCTGGGATAAAAGAAGACAGGCAATAAATAATTACCAGCAGAAGTAAGTTTTATTTATTGCTGGAATGAATGAGGGGTATAAATTTGATGAAAAGCAGATCAATAGTTTGAAGTTTTTTTCTTTAAAAATATACGCATGTTGTAAGGTCACTTTAATCATTTATGTAGTGCCATAATTTGTAATGCAGTGTGTTTTTAGCTTATAAAGATTTTGGATGGAATCCTAGACAGCTACAGCACCTGTCTGGGGCAGGGATGTACTTATTCAGCCAGAACTGCTTGGGGAAGGTTTTTTTACTGCAGCCAGTCACTTGGCTGAAGGAGCTGACAAAATGCTTTTCCATGGCTATCTAGAATTGTGCCGTTTGTGTCTTTACGCATGTGTCTTGTATTTATGGTTCATTTATAAAAATAAATTGAATGCAGGTTTTACATTTGACAGTGCAAAAAGCAGCTTCATTGCCATGCTGGAGAGCACCTGAAGATACTTATCACCATGTGAACTTCTGACAAGTCCTCTTTCCACATATCAGGGTCCTTACCTGCCCAGACCCTGCCCTTTGCAATCCACATTGCCTAGATGCCACAAATTGCTCAATCCCCGCCTCTTGCATGAACTAAGGAACACCCAACACCACCCCCACAACAAACAGCTTTCCAGACTGCTACTGGAAACCCCTCTTCATGCAAGGCTTGTGTGTGTGAAGGGTCAGGGGAAATTCCCCGGGTCAGCATTACACCCCACTGATTGCCTGGGCAGATTCTGTGATGGGGCTTCTGTTCAGCAGGAAACTTCCTGTCCTAAGTTAAAATTTCCTGTTTTCAGGCTTTTGCTTTGGGGGAAAAAAGATATCCAGAGTCTTGGGCCTGTTGTGCTCCTCCACACCAGCTTTCTAGGTGATGTGGAAGTTCCCTAATGATTTTGATAATCCGGAAACCCCGCCTGCTCCCCCCCCCGAAAAAAAGTTTGGTCTACGGATGCCCTCTGTCCTTTTGAATCTCCGGCTAGGACCATGGCTGTGGAGAGAACCACCCGAGCCGCCTGCAAGGGTGGGGGAGATGAAGGCGGGCGGCGCGCTGGGGGCGGAGGACGGAGGGAGGGAGGGGAGCAGCATCGCCCGGTGATGTCAGCTTCTAGGAGGAGCCTTGCCCTTGTGTGCTTTTACTTTCAGGCTCCGTGCAGTTCGCATGCGGCTGTGAGCCACTCGGCTGGGGCTGCTCTCTTCTGCCTCCCAGATCAGCCGCGCCTCCACGATGAAATCCCTTGATCCAGCGGCTTCGCCACGGACCCGGGGAACTCCGAGAGTAGAGGCGGCTCCTTTCCTTTGCTCGGGCTCCCTTTGCCTCCCCGCCCACTGAGCATGGTGCTTACAGCAATTATTATTAATTATTATTGTTATTGTTATTATTATTCACCACCGGGCATGTGAAGCCCCGAGCATCATGCCAGCAACGTGCACTTTTCTGATCCATCAATTCTGCCTCCTCCTGCTCGTGGGACTGCATCTCTTTGTGGGATCTTTCCCCCTCGCCTCCCCGTCCTCCTCCTCCTCTCCTTCCTCCTCCTCTTCCTCCACCACCGATCGCTCCCGTTTCGCCACGACGGGGCCGCGGGGATCTACCCCTCCCCAGGAGGACTCCTCTTTCTCGGCTGCTTCCTTGCTGCTTCCCAGGGCGAAGGAGAGCCCGGAGCCTTCCGTGGCATCTGTCGGCGCTGGAGACCTGGGTGAGTAAGAGAGCGAGAAGCGGAGAGAGGGAAGCTCGGGGGGGGGGATGTGTGTGTGTCCGCCCGCCCGCCCGCCCACCGCCACAGCAGCTGCTACTCCGGGGGGGCTTAGCTTCATCCGGCACATTTCATCCCGCCTTGGACGGGGGTGGTGGTGCGTGGAGGATTCCTGCAGACGGATTAGAAGGAACATGCCAGCCGGCCGATTTCTGCCTCTCTGCCACCCCCTCAGCATCGCCACCACCAGTTTTCCCTTTAGCAAAAAAAAGGAGCTCTAGTCCGGTGATCATTCCCACCCATGTCCCAGCAGGGGTTGCGCGTCAAAGGAAAGCCACTTCTGTCGGACAGCACCGAGTTGCTGTTGTTTTTGAAACAATAACAATAAAAAGAACTTCTGTTATTCGCCATCTCTTCTCTCTCTCCCCCCCCCCAACCTCCCACTCTTAGGACTTTATAGGGATCCGGCTTTGGGGGATGTTCAAGTGGGGCGCAAAGAGAAAGGTTTCTTAAGCGCCACTTGCAAGCTGTTCTGCTCCTCGCTTGGGTCGGGCTGGTGGCCCCATGCCGTTGGCAGAAGGGCTTGGGACACTTGGCTATGGGAGAAGGCGTTGGGAGTCCGGCTACTGAATGAACGGCATGATGGATTGTCCTGTCAAAACTTGACTGGGTTTAATTTGCAGATCTAACGAGGTTATTTTGTGTGAGAGAAGCTGCCCCGTTCACAATTAATTAATATCTAAAGACCAAAACAAATATTATTATTACTACTAGTAGTAGTAATGTATTATGCCTCTAGTTAGGACTTCTGTTGCAGTAAGTAAAGATAAATAACAGGCTTTCCAGAAAACAAGCTGCTGGAAGTAATGGAAGAATGAAAAGAATAAGAAATAATACATTTGGGCTTGATAGGTGGGTGGTATATAGAAACAGTTGGCTATTTTAAGCACACTGTACAGAAGTCTATAGGTAAAATAAGTTTGCAGAGTTCTGATGTAGTAACTTGATTGGCTAAGATGCAATCCTATACATATTTAGGAGTAAGTCCTATTGAACTTGGTGGAATGACCTTCAATCTAAGCAAAGATGCATAGCATGGCACTGTAAATGTATCCTGTCTCATTGAACAACGGTTCTCTCCCCGCCCCCATTACAACCAGTGTTTCTCCAGTTGAATGAATGGAGGCTTGTGCAGGGAGCAGAGTTTGGTTAAATATTTTACTTGTAAATTACATTGAGCCAGTTATAAACTGTTTGGACACTTGTGTTCATGATTTTCTGTCATTTCCTAATATTAAATTGATCAAGAAGGATTTTTTTTTAAAAAAAGGATGATCATGATGAAAGTTAATGTTATTGTTGTTGATTATGATAATTACCACAAAGCAACTGATAACGAATGCAAAGAATGCAAAATAAACAAAAGTAGAAAATGCAGATAAATGTTAATTTGATTTCCTGCTATTTCTATAACTCTATAATACTGTAGAAGAGAGCAAGCAGGAGCCTGGCTCAAGAAAAGAGCAATGAAAAACTGAATAGTTAGAACACACACAGACTTTTACATATTTATTCAGTAGTAAGCCCCATTGAGTTCATGGGACCTTACTCCCAGGTACATTTGAATCTCTGGATTCAGGGTCCCATCACTTACCTGGAAGAAAGCCCTATTGAACTCATGTATAGGATTGCACAGTCATATGAATTAGACTCTTCTGAGACGTATGTATTGCAAGAGTGGCATGAAATAGATTCTGCTTTTCTTTCCCAAGTTTATGACTATCAAAGCATGATTAGCATGTATTTAAGGAATAAGCATTCTCAAGTCATATATAATTCAGGATTTGAATTACAAGGGGGGTGGCTTTACCTTTTCTGCCAGTCCCCTTTGCTAAAATTGGAGGGAGACAAGAGGCTGGGACTCACAGAGAGGGCTTATCTCTTCTCCCATCATTTGAACACTGGCGCAGATGTTAAAAGAAACTTAAAGCATGCAGCAGAGGCGTCCCCTCTTTGCAACTCTTTCCACACCCAGCCATACGGACATACGGAGATTCTGAAACCCAGAAAGAGGCAGTGGCACTTGAAGAAGGAATGAAAGGAGCAGGCATCCCCTGGCTGGATCAGTTGGAGTATGTGAATACTGTGATACCTAGAAACTTTGGCCACTGTGGATGCATAGAACTGCATCTCATCTGAAAAGGACTAGAAGGGTTTGGGCTGCAGTCCTAACCATAATTAGTAGGGAGTAAGCAATGTTGAACAAGATGGGAGTTCCTTCCAAGTGAATACACACAGGGTTGTGTTGTGTAACATAAGGTTTTCCCAGCTGGTGTGTCTCCTCATCTGCTAAGGTGATGCAGAAAGTCTGGCTCTAGGGTGTGTAAATTATTGGAGATGCTGCAATTTCCTTTCTATAGTACCGCAGTTATCTCTGCCAGCCACTGTACACATGGCATCATAAAGATGCAAGGGCAAGAGTTGTGATTTGACTCTGGGTGGTGAGGATACGCTGCAGATCTGCGGCATTCGGTTTACTTTCTATGCTCTGGAGATTAAGGTGGTAAGGGGCCCAGGAGAGGAAAAACCTTTGGAGGAGAGGGAAAGGTTAGTAGATACCTACAGTGCTTTGCCAACTCCAGGTGTACTTCAGAACCTTGTGCTAAAGCAGAGGTCTTCTATGCCTAACTGCACAATGCACAATGTACAAATCCAAAGGCAAATTAGTTTTGACTAGGGTTCACATGGCGTTATTTCTGTTTACCATAGACTGGAAACAATTCACCCCAGTACATGATCCTTTCTGCTAGAGCGGACTACCTTTTCATCTTTTGCATGGGCCTTTCTTCATGTAGCATGGAGCTTCCATTTGGTTCTTCAAGGCTTGATCTGGCCGGGGATCCACAAACCTGTTTTAACATACAGACTACCCTGGAGGGACTTGGGCAAATGAATGCGGTAAACTCAACCCCTGTAAAGACCTACTCCAGTGCTGTTATATAATACTGAGATTATCCTTGTTTGACTAGTATTTGTTGTAGTCACCCTTCAATAGGCCTTTGAGGTCTAGAGTTGGGCCAGAATAAATTTGTTTCAGGTCTTTAAAGCCAATGAAACAAATTTAAACAAGTATTTAAAGCTGTAACAATGAAAGGAAATGATGGCGGTATTTCTTGATACAGTATTTATGTCGTGATACCAGGGATAGACCAAACAGTTGGATGGATGGATGGATGGATGGTTTATTACTGTACATTTAGCTCACACCCTTCCTCCTAAAGAGGTCCCTGATGGCAAATACATTTGTGATAAAACAATACCATTTAAAAGCTTATTTTAAACATTTTTTTAAAAGTAAAAGTATCCAAAATCATTAAAAACAATTAATAGCATCTAAAAGCATTTGAGCATTTTTTATATAAAAAAGATGCCGTCAAATAACGTGTATTATTTTTTAAAATTGTGCATATAAGTAATTAAATATGTGTAGTGTCCACAATCAGAATTAAAAAACTATAGGTAGCTTTGTTGGCCCATAAGAAAAATTCCAAAATCCATATTATTGCTCTGCTTACCATTTAACCTGATGAAGCATTCTGGAGAACTCCAAAGCTTGCATACTGTTTTGTGACATTTTAGTTGGTCTTATAAAGACGTGGCCCCAATATACATTTTGGAATCAGAACAGAGTTACTTAAGTTCAAGCCCATTTAAATCAATAAGGTTAACTGCAGCGATTGATGTACTGGATTGTGTTCAGCAAGGATAAAAGACAAAAGTCATTTAAAGATGTGATAATGGTTACGAAGCAGGTCGGGGTGCCTGCTCCAAAATGAAATGTGTACCAGTATTGACTCCTGCAGAGCTGAGGGGAGGACTCTCTGAGAAGCTTCCACTCTTGCCTCTGTTCTCAAAAAAAAAGTCCACTTGAATATTTGTCCATGGTCAAATAATTGTCATTTATAGACTGGTAAAGCACCCCCCCCAATAAAGAATCATGGAAATGGTAGTTTACGCCTTACAGAAGTACATTTTCCAGCACCCTTAACAAACAGTTCCCTAGTTTCTTTGGGAGGTAGTTACAGGCTTTTATGGGGACGCGGGTGGCGCTGTGGGGACTTGCCGATCAGAAGGTCGGCGGTTCGAATCCCCGCGACGGGGTGAGCTCCCATTGCTCAGTCCCTGCTCCTGCCAACCTAGCAGTTCGAAAGCACATCCAAAGTGCAAGTAGATAAATAGGTACCGCTCCAGCGGGAAGATAAACGGCGTTTCCGTGCGCTGCTCTGGTTCGCCAGAAGCAGCTTAGTCATGCTGGCCACATGACCCAGAAGCTGTACGCTGGCTCCCTCGGCCAATAAAGCGAGATGAGCACCGCAACCCCAGAGTCGGCCATGACTGGACCTAATGATCAGGGGTCCCTTTACATTTACCTTTCACAGGCTTTAAATAGTGTATGTGCAGGCTTACTAGATGCTGTCCAAGCCACTAGGCGGTGACTTACTATAAGCAGCATTGCTCATTATTGGAGACAGGATGCTGGGCTAGATGGTCTTGCCCTCATTGTGCCACTTTTTCACTACTCAACTGTAAACAATGTAAAAAAAAGAAAACGACATTTACATTAAAAGGAAGGAACGATTGTCTGGTAGATAAGAAACAGGGCAGGGATTCCAAAGACCTTGGTTCAGTCTTAGACCTCCCTTTGTGACTTTAGGAAATGCAGTAGATAGGCTCTATATCTCAGTTCCTATTTGGTTATGATGGATTATTAAGAATTTCCTATCTTACACGGGGTATCGTGAGGACAGCCAGCGATAGCAGTCGGAGGAAAGTGGCTAGCTCAGAGGGTTATGAAAAACAAATGTTTGTCTGGGACCCTCCACCTTTTTCTGTGCCTTTGAGATTCAAAAATGAATAAATGAGTGCAGTTGATTTATTTGTTTCTAACATTTATATCCGGTCCCATTGTTAAGCAAGGACATTTTGGGCTGTCCGTTAGGGCATTTTGGAATGTAACCATGTTTTCAACATACGGATGGGCAGACATTTTGTTCTTGCTTCCTGAAATGCCCGCAAACCCTATCATTTGTTGATAAACTCCATTTCCCCTAACACTTGTATACAGTGGTAACTTGGGTTACATATGCTTCAGGTTACAGACTCTGCTAACCCAGAAATAGTACCTCGGGTTAAGAACTTTGCTTCAGGATGAGAACAGAAATCGCGTGGCGGCAGCGCGGCAGCAGGAGGCCCCATTAGCTAAAGTGGTGCTTCAGGTTAAGAACGGACCTCTGGAACGAATCAAGTATGTAACCAGAGGTACCACTGTGTACAGTACCTTGGGTATTATATGACTAGAAGCAAAAAGCTCTCAAGCAAATAGGACCTGGGAAACCAGGGTTCAAACACGCACTTGGCCATGAAGTTCACTGAGAAACCTTGGACCAGTCACTGCCTCTCAGCCTAACGTACCTCATAGGGTTGTTGTGGGGATTAAATGAGAAGGGGGTAGAGCAGTGTGTGTCACCTTGAGTTCCTTGGAGAAAAAGGAGGGAGATAAATGCAACAAATAAATAAACAAAACAAATGATTACTCATTATCACAACAGTGGTCACATATGGCCCACTGAATCATTTTTGGATTACAGCTGTGATTGCCTTGGCGTTCTTCTTCCTCTCTATTTATGCGCTGGGCTTGGTTCTGTGGACAAACGTCTTACTAGAATAACTCAACAAATAGACTTCCCACGCTCCTGCGGAAGGGGTCCCAACAAAATACACCAGGCAAGGTATTCTCTCAATGTTACCTGTTATTTTTCAGCACCGTTTTTAGGTTTGCCTCTCTTTTGTTTTATCACAAGTGTTCAGACTTGTGCTCTAGAAAGATACAAAAACTACAGACTTTGCTCTGTCTGCATGTGGAAGCGCAGACTTGCTGTATCTGATACATATCGTATGGCATGCATAGAGGCAAGATAAAGTGAACAAGAGGGGAGAAAGGTGGCGAAGGAGAGAGGGGGAGAGATGACAGTGCTCTTTTTTTTTTTTACCCCAACAATAAGTTTACAATCAGGTAGCTTTAGGAAAGACTAGGAGACCAGAGAGTGTGAGGAAATACTGTACCTTATTCATACAAAATCTGGAGATTAGAGCAGCAAATTATTAATGGGTTTCCTTTAAATGGGGCTGGGGAATCTCAGGCCTCTGGGCTTCTCTCTGTGACCCTCAAAACTCTTGCCAGGCGACCATGTTCCTGCCTAGCCACACTCCTCACTTAGCCACCCTTGAGGGTTTTTGTCAGACTATAAAATGCCCTTGAGTGTCTCTTGCTTGCCTAGATGGAAAGGGGCGTGTTTTGTGTATGTTTATAGAAATTAATTTTTGTGTGTGAGGGGTGCAGCTACTGTATCCATTGCCCCTCTTACTTTTCCTTTTGGCCTCCCACACAACTGACACATGGGAGGTTGATCATGAGGGAATGTGGCCCTCAGCCTAAAAAGTTATTCCTGCTTTAAAGCTAGGTACAGGGATGCAGAAGAGGCACATCTATGACATGGTGAACTTTGTGGGAAGAAGATGTAGGCACATATTTCAAATGGTGCGATGCTAAACCACCGTGTTCTCCTGCTTCACCCCGAGGCATGGCTAGCTAGCCTATGCTTTTTTTGACCGCTCAGAACATTCCCATCCACCCTTCAGGCTGAAATCATAATTAGAGTCCACGGACAAGGAGAAAAACTTTCCCACCCAAAAGGGAAATGAGAGGCTGTGTTGCTGAGGCAGCCAGCCCAAGTAATAATATAATCTTAGAAGAATGCAGTTCCCTCGAGTAAAGGAAGTTCTAAAAACTTCAACATGCGGAGCCATTAAAATAGCTGTTGCTTGTTTGGCTGTAACTTTGTCTGCGGATCCAGGCTTCTGAAATGCGGGGTGAGGGGAGCTCAGAGTGAAGCACTGGGGGGGGGGGAGTATTTTCTTTTGTGTGTATAAATGACACACATGGCCCTTGAGATGAGAGTGGTCTCCTCAGGTGGCGTAGGCATCTTTAATATCCCAACATCTGCTCTCATTAAAACTGAGCTTCCAAGATCCAGCAACATCCATTTTGAGGCAAATAAGCCTCGCTCTGCCTTTTCTGGGCCAGTGGCTATGGCGCCTCAGCGGGCAAACAAGGAGCAAAGAGGGCAGCAAGACTAGATGGGAACAGCACTAACATGAAGGAGACAAAGTCTACATACACACCATACACTGAAGCACCTAACTTTCCCCAAGAATTATGGGAACTGTAGTTCAAGGGTTCTGGGAACTGTAGCTTTGTGGAGGGGGAAACTACAGTTCCCAGGATTGTAGCCAAAATGAGGCAATGATTCAGGGACAAAGATGGCAAAAGTTTCAAAGTTGACACATTATTTGAAAAGAATAGATTATTTATACCTCTAATAAGGTAAAGAAGAAGAAGAGTTTGGATTTGATATCCCGCTTTATCACTCCCCTTCAGGAGTCTCAAAGCGGCTAACATTCTCCTTTCCCTTCCTCCCCACAACAAACACTCTGTGAGGTGAGTGGGGCTGAGAGACTTCAAAGAAGTATGACTGGCCCAAGGTCACCCAGCAGCTGCATGTGGAGGAGCGGAGACGCGAACCCAGTTCCCCAGATTACGAGTCTACCACTCCTAACTACTACACCACACTGGCTCTCCCTATAATATAAATCTTTAGAAGGAAGGGTCATTGTGATCTACCAAAGTAAAGATGACTGTTGAAGGTTCTCCTCCCCCAACATGTGTATAACTACCCAGGGTATTAAATATTGCCCTGAAGAAGAGCTATGCATCATGGGATACCATGAGGTAATTTTGGACTCTGGACTTAATGGTCTTACAGTTTATTACCATACATGTCTATTCAGACTCAAGTCCCATTAAATTCAGTGGGAATTAAAGCCCTGGTAAGTGTAGGACTGTGCCTTTATTTAAGTTAATGGTTCCCCCGCTTTAAGATGTGTATATTTCTTTGACATGCGATGAGGCAGCTGTGTTCATTTGGGGGCCGTCCTGCTCATTCTGCTGAATGGGGCTCTGGACCTCTGCCCCAGAGCCCTGCCCTGACACTGTTGGGATGTAGATAATCCATCGTTTTTGAACAATGAAACAGGATGTCCTGCAAGTCAATGATTCACAAGGAGATAAGAGGGACTTAAATTTAATAATGTTCTATGAGTTGACTGCATAATTAAATTAATATATCCTAGGCCAGCCTAGGGTATATCTGGGGTATTATTTCAAATAGATCTGAAAAGTGAGCGGAGACTAAAGTTGCATTGGAAATCCACATTGAGTTTCAAGTTCCACTGCTACCAAGGCAACCATCACAGATCCATGTGTATTCTTGCTTTATTATCTCCCAAAGTTATTGGACTGCTTTTTTTGCCATATCATTTTTATTAATTTTACAGTAATGCTTTCCATTACAATCTCTCCTCTTACATTATACATTTTGGCATTTTAGACCCATGACTTCCTTCAAACCTTCCTTGTGATTTTCTATCTTTCATTTCAAATTTCTGCATTTTCACTACTTAACCATTGCTTGCAAATCAAAAACATCAAAGCATCATATTTTCTTATTCTTCTCTGCAGTGATTTTTACACCTTTCCTTCAAAAGTTTCTTGCTATCCTACCAACATGTTTGATTGACTACAATTGTCTTTCAAATAATTTACAAATTTAGTCCAGTCCTTGAGGAACTTCTGGTCCCTCTGTTCTCGGATTCTTCCCGTCATTTTGGCCAGTTCCGCATACTCCATTAACTTCAGTTGCCATTCTTCCTTTGTCGGTAATTACTCTTGTTTCCACTTCTGTGCTAATAAAATTCTTGCTGCAGTTGTTGCATATAGGAAAAGCTTAGTATCTTGTCTGTTAACGTCTGTACCTACAATTCCCAGTAGAAAAGCTTCCAGTTTTTTAGTATATGTATATTTCAACATTTTCTTAATTTCATTATATATCACATCCCAGAAGCATTTCCCTTTCTTACAATCCCACCACACAAAGTTATTGGACTCCTGCTCCCATCATCCCTGACTACTGGCCACATTAGCTGAGGGCTGATGAGAGTTAGAGTCAAATGACATTTGGAGGGCCATACTCCACTCACAATTTGTGAAGTGGGCCTAAATTGTGAAAAGCTGTAGACAAAGTGGTTTGTCCAATTGAGGAACATTGGTTTTTAGGAGTTTCCAGAGGAACTGGACACAATTCTGATGGACAAAGCAAAACCATTAAAAAAAAAGTTATTTCAAAAAGCAGCATAGAAGTCAAGACCTTGGCTATTTAATGGGCAAGTCAAGGCTCACAATTCATCATGAAGTCTAATTACCTTTGTTGCTGTACTTTATTACGTTTTATTGTGGACTCTGGGCATAATTGCATCTGTGTCTAGGAAGTTTTAGTGCTTGTCACCTGCAAAGACAATCTGCCCTTGGTGCAGGTTCTGCAAGCCCCTATGAAAATGTAGCCCTGAAAAAGATCCAAGCATTTAAACAGCCATTGTTACTTGGTTCCATCTTAAATTACAGAGCGAAATGCTAAACATTTCAGTCCTCTTTGGGATATTATCAACTCATTTATCCAGAGTGGGATGTGATATACTGCTAGGCTGGCAGATAACACAGCAAATAAAGGCTCTTTCAAATAGTAGTTCTTAAAGAAGAAACGCGATCCCTGCTTGGAATAATGAGGAAAAACAGGCGAGCATAAAGAGGTGAATCGAGTTGGTCTGATGCCTTTCTTTTTAACTGCACATTTTCTGTGGCAGCATAAATGAGTTGAAAAAGATACACTTTCATGCCTACTGACTTGTATTTAGATCGTTATTTAGATACGCTTCAAAGCTAATTAAAAAAAAGTAACTAGAATTCATATCTGAGGATTAGTATCCACATATTTGCAACAAACACAAAAATTAAATTTGGGTCACCATCTGCTTATACCCTGGCCTTGCTTTTTCAGGTGGGTGGGGTACAAACAGGACCTATAACAAAATGTTGATCGTTTATCTGTACCACCTAACAAAAGTGCTCAGCTTTTCAGCCAGCTTTGTCTCCTGGAGGACACTCCATTTCACCACTAAATCCTTTTTGTTGTTGTTGTTGCTTTTTCTTACCTCCATTGGAGGAGGGCCTTCTTTCAAATGTCCTCACCTGCATACAACAGGTGCCCTTTTGGACAGTTTGTGCAATTTTGATTGCAATCCAATGCATAAATAAATATATATCTGGGACTTACTTCAGAATAGACTTTCACTGTTCATTTATTGCTTGTGACTTTTCCTCCCTCCTTTTATTTTTATTTTTAAATACAAACCTAGGTGTCCCATTCCTGTTCATATAATAGTAATTGGTTTGGGTTGTGGTTTTGTTTCATTTTTTTGTTTGTTTGTTGTGGGGTTTTTTGCATGGGCGTTTTATTGACAGGCTGTTAACTGCCTTGGATATTGCACTTCATGGAAGAAAAGAAGTAAAATCAAATAACTACACGGGACGTTCAAGATAAATACAAGGTGGCCTGGCTCACAATCGTTTAGCTTTCAAACAGGTGTACAAATGAAATGAATGGGAGAAGGTGGTCCTTTTGCTCAAGTGCAGAGGACGTCCAGAAGGACATGAGCATGGATGCATGGCCAGCCACAGGGTTGGCACAGGAATTCCTTGGCAGAAGCCTGGGTGGCTTGGAAGCCGGCACAAAGCAGCTTGTTGGGGAAGGAGGCTTGGCAGAGCACAAAACCTCCTCTAGCCCCATAATCTCATTTGGAGTAAAGTGATCCCCGCACTCCAGCCAAGATGGCTTGTGGCTTTTGTGGGGATGAATGCAGCAGATGTTAAATCACAGGGGAATGTTAGCCCTTTGCCGTTGGATACCTCCTAGCCTTGTGGCTTTCGAGCTCAATACTGAACTGTGACTGGTGGGGCTTTGATTAGGAAAGGAAAAGCCTGCCCAAAATTTGCAGCTCCCCACCCCCTGGCCATCTTCTCTCTCCTTTATGCCAGTAGGCAAGATGGTTCGTGTCAAGGGGGGAAGAGGTGAAAATTATAGGGTGTCGAGAGATCCAAGTGCAGTTCAGACCGAAGCAGCTACACCCTTCTGAGACAATGCACTGGAAGGATGTGCCTAGGAGGGGCCTGGGCTTGGGAGTTCCGCTCTCTGTGAGCTGTGGGGAACGGGATGCCATTCCAAGGAAGGAGGAGGTAAGGTGAAGAAGGTGGAATACTCCCGGCTGGCGCCTCATGCCCTGAGGACCACTTAAATCAGGAAGCCTGCCCTTCCAGCCTAGTTGAGACCTATTGGACTCCACGAGGCTGAATTAGATCAAGTGCCTACAGACTGGCTACATCTGTGCAGCGCAGCGCTGTGCTGGAAAAAAATGCAATGCTTGCTCGACTACAAAATCTGGTTATTTCATGCAAAGATCATTTTAATGAAGGCTTTCTCTTCGTTAATTGCCCTTTGACTAATTCACTTAGCTGACCTTTTTTTTTTTTTAAGTACCACAGAATTGTTTCCTTAGCTGACCTTTTTCTAAAAGAACAAAACACCAAACCACAGAATCGCTCTGTTCCTTTTGATAGACCTTTGCATCGTACTTGCTTGCCTCTTTATGTGACCTTCATCTGCAGGGTGTTTAATTAAGCCTACCTTACGGACACCTCCAGTGTGGTACACCTTGCTGTTCCTACATTTGAGAGGGATTCAGTCACATACTGGCAGAAGCAGTTGCAGTGGCTTTGGAGCTCTCGCTCAACAAACCTGCTCAGACTAAATTTCAGCTGTGTGTAAGGTTGGCTTGGTGGCTGCTTCTGCTTTGCACCTTATGCTCAAGAGGGGGTGATTTGTAACAGAGAACCAGTTTTACTCTTCTCTCGCCAGCCATTTTTTTTTTGAAACTCCCCCTTCCACACACCAATTTACTACGCTGTTTCAGGTCTGTATTTCAGACATAAACACCGTTGAGTATGGGCTAGCAGGGGAAGAGTTAAGCCTGTTCTCTGCATTTATTTTTTATTTTTTTCCATTGCAAATGCTTTCCTCTCCTGGAAGTGTATTTGCAAGGGGACAGAAAGTTCCTGTCAGGCTAATGTTGCAAGAGAAGGGCTGTCCTGTAACCTTTAGTATGTCCTTAAAATATTCTGGAGTATGTTTCCATTTCCCTACCATATGCAGTTCTTTATTAAGCCTGTCAGAAACTTGCACCTTCCCCCAGATGGTATGCAACCATATAGTTTGACCTAACCATGTGGTGTGAGACAGTGTGGTGTAGTGGTTATAATATTGGACAAGGACCTGGGAGGACTGGGTTTAAATCCCTACTCATCCACAAGACTTGCTGGGTCACCTTCGGCCAGTCACCTTCTCTTAGCTCAAACTACCTGGTCTTGAAGTAAACCAAGGCCTGGTTCATTGCAATCTCTAGGAGAGTTATCAGGGCAGAAATTTGTGCCTTGCCTGTTTGTCATCTTCACTTAAAATTCAGCCGAGCAAAAAACAACAATTCGTTACATACATACAGCTCGGGGCCTGTTGCTTCTGAAGCTGCTGTGGTGGGGGTAGAACTAACAGGGTTTAAAAAGCACATAAGGCCTTGCTTAGTGGGCTGAGTAGCTTTGAGTACCATGTATCTGGATTTCCCACCTGCTTCAGCCACAACAGGCATTTGTTGTGGTCTGGCATTGCTAAATTCTGTGGTATGGGAAGAAGCAGGACCCCAGGAAGACCATGATAAACAAAGGGTGACACCCGACCCTGTCTCTCAGACTTAGTGGCCTCACGATGGTCTTTCCAAGTGCATATTAAGAAGAGGAAGGTGGGTATTATTAGGGTTTAAAGTGCAGGATTGGGATCTGAAGGCTATTCTTAGCTCTGCTTCTAACTTCCTGGCTGAAATCCCAGCTTTGCTCAAAGTCGGTAGGAGCCTGCCGTTAACTTCTGTGAAGCCAGGCTCTTAACGACACCCAGATCCCAAATCAGGGAGGCAGAAGTTCACCCAAAAATGTCAGGTTGCAAGCCAATGGTTATTTTTGTGGAGCATGGGAAATGAGCACTCTTATCACTGCAAAGGCACAAGCCTTGGGTCGTGCTTCACTAGTTGGATACAGAGGCTATACAGAAGCAGGAATCATCCACACATTTGGCCTTGGGTTTGCCAGCCGTGTTTTGTCCCTACCTTTTTCAGAGTCTTCTGTGCAACTCAGAGAACTTGGAGGGGTGTGTGTGGAATGATGGAGTGGCCTCTCATATGGTCCTGGGCTTTAGAGCACACGGAAGCACTTCCATAGACTCCCAAGCTGAGCACAATGGGATAAACTCCTCCTGAGACTTGGAAAGGGGAGGTGGAGTTAATAGCAATAATTACAAGTAAAAATAAATAAAATACATCTGCCATGGAGTCTAGCCCAGGCTGAACCATCATAGGTAGCCCTAAATGCTCCTTTATTCATTCGGTATGTTAGCACTCCTTCTAATAGCAGACTTTGCTGGTGAGCGCTGACAGGATTGTAGCCAAAATTGAGGCCCAGAAACAAGAGGGGGAGATATCAGGATGCATGGGGGATCCAATTATGTCAAGAAGTTCAAAAAAAACAACACTATTGGTTTCTCTCTCTCTCTCTCTCTCTCTCTCTCTCTCTCTCTCTCCCCCCCCCCTCTCTCTCAGAGACCGAAAACTAATACCCCAAACAGCCCGGTGAGGACTGAGCATTCTCAGTGACCACATAATTCCAGGTGTCTGTTCTAGCAGGTAGGACAGGGAGGCCAAAAGGAATGGAGTATCCTCTGGCTGGTTGGCTGGCTGGCCAGCACACTGAACAGGAACACTTCACACTGCAGCATTTTGTTGCAGGTTGTACTAGTATGTCATTCTTAGGTTAAAGTGCTAATAATTGCACTCAGCTATCAGTTTGAAGACACCAAACCCTAATAAAAATTATGGGGTTATCATCACCCCAAATCTGAACTCAGAAATGTCAAAAATGTGGAACAGCTCTGGCATGTCGTTTGGCCGATCCTATAAATGGTTGAAAGATTTTTGTCCGTGTTATTGTTCAGCTCTGTTCCTGTTTAATTGCAGCTTTCCTGTGGGTTGCAGGTTATATAAGAATGTAGACGTTTCCTGATTACTGTCTAGCAGAATATCTGAGCCCTAGCTTAACATGACATGTTTGGCATTTGGATGACAATGAAAATCTTCATATATGGAAAACAATCCAGTTTCCATGGCCTCCTCGTGCCTACTCTAAAGGCACGCTTTGGTAGCTAAGGACATTTCCTTACAGTTATCCAAATCTGATGTGCTATAAAATTAACCCAGCAAAGGCTCTGCCAGGCAATGTTCTGATCACTCAGGCCTGAAACTATATTTCATCCCAGTCAACCTGTTCTCCACACACTCAGGGAGCTGCCATGGTTTTCATTGTGTTTCCCCGTGCCCCCTGCCTCCACCCGCCCTTTTATACTCCCGGCTGGCCCCTTTTGCAGCCAGGATGTTTTTTTTCTTGCCATTTTATTGTTCCAGTGACCTAGCAACTCTGCACCGGTGGACTCTTGCCAGTCAACTTCCTCTCTGAGCTGCCTGACAGACTCCAATGATGTTGCCATCAGAAATGAGTAGAAGTTGAAATGGTGACAAAATAGGGTCTCTCTCTCTCTCTCTCTCTCTCTCTCTCTCATAATTCCTACTCATCCACATTATTCCTCGGTTGTTGTGGTGGCTGTGGTTCTTCTTCTTATTGTTATTAAAGCCCAAAGCATCAATTCTGTTTTACCAGGAAAAGAAAGAGTTCACAAGAGAATTCCAAATGGGAATATAGATACTGGGTGGGGTAACATTTTAAACAAGCAAGAAAATCCATTTATACCAAAATGAACTTTGCTAATCTTGAGCACTGTCAAGAAGATAAGCTGAAAAGCACGTCAATAAAGCAAAATCATATGCAGAATTTATAGAAAGATGCCTTGGTGTTCATTATGCACCAGAAAACAATACTTATAACGAACCAATGCCTACTGACGATTCTGAATAGAAAGGAGTCTGTTAGCAGAAAAAATATTGCTGTAGATTGAGACTATGCCCCAAAACCAACACAGCACTTATGCTGGTCTCATACTGAACATTTTTTAGCATTCACAAAACACGGAGAGTCCCTCTTTCAAGTATTATTCAAAAAGAAATAATAATGGATTGGCAACCTTACTTTTTAATTTTTGTAGACTTAGAACATAATCATATTGATGATGGTGGTGATTAATAATTTCTTAGAGGTGCATTGGATCATTATGAGTTCTTAATGCATGGAGGCTAGCCCTTTTAATAGGCTTTCCTCTTCTTCTGTGCATTTAAACCAGTTTCTAGTCTACTCTGTGGTAATTTTCTCTTTCTCTTTCTGTGGTGGGCTGTGAGACCTACTTGGATTTATCTGGCATTGGCGTCCTGTCCTTGCTTGTTTTCCTAGTATAGAACACAGTAGGAACAAAATGGAGAGACATTCCAAATGAAGTGATCTGCATAAGTAAATAGGAATGTGGATTGTCAATAAGAAGTATAGAGTATTATGCAGAGAAAACTGCATGTAATTCAACAAATGCGATACCAAAACAGATTTGTATATATTTTGATAAATGCCACCTGTAAAAAAAACCATGCAGCACTATTGTTGATTTTAGGATGCTACAGTCAAGCAGATTGCAGGTGCCACATTTATATGCCCAAATGGAACCACAGATTCTCACAAAAGGCACCAGTGCTTCCTGTGATCTTCCCAGTGGCCTGTGTGTGCTCCCAAGGCCTGTGTGTGGCAGCTCTCTCTCTAAGTGTGAACCTGTCGTCAGAAACCAAAACAAATGACAAAATAATTACATTCCCAGAATTTCAAAGCCCATTACACTGGGCTTGGCGCCGGTTGCTCAATATTCAAGGTTTACAAATAATGTGAAATAAATGTCCTGTGGCTGCGCACGTGCCAGAGTGTGGCCTGCGTGAGACCACGCTGGTGCAGTTTATTAAAAAAAATAGTGGTACTTGTGTGTGGTCTGTCCATGTGGTTTCCATTGTTTCCCTCTGTGCTGAACAGGTTGCCTGTCCCACTAAGGAAAGGGTTAATTGCATTCCCCTGCTTATCAGAGAAAACAGTGCACCCTTTTTAAGGAATATTCTCCACATGCTGAGGACGCTGTAGAATTGGTTTTCTGCTTTGAGGGTTTTCCTCAGTGCTGCTCCTTTCAGGGAAAGAACACGGAAGGAAACTGAAAGAGTCCAGATTTAGGACCGAAGCTTTTGTTCGCACAGCACAAACTCGCTTGGCTCCAAAACGGCCTCCACCCATAATCATTACATCCGCAGCAGTGTTTGAAAAACACAGTCCAGAGAGCTGCTTTCCTAGTAGCTGATAAAGGAGTGGGCTGTTAAAGTGTGTGCTGCCACCCCATGAAGCCGGAGAGGCTGACTGTCTTCTTTATTATTCTTTTCAGCCTAAACCTTACCGCTAAAGGTTTCTTACACAGACTGAGGAACGAGGGAATACAGATTTTCTTCTGTGACTCTCTCTCTCTCTCTCTCTCTCTCTCTCTCTCTCTCTCTCGTGTGAAGACTTACTGTGGATTTTGCCAGATTGCAAACATTACTTTTACAGTTTCAGTTACTTTTCTCATGAGATTCTCTTTTTGTTCAGT